GTGCAATATATAAGCAATTTCCAGCAAAACACTGTTACCCATCAAGCAAAATGATGCATATTTCTTAGAGTAAAGACTTTATTTTCTGACATGCAGTTTTTCCAGAGCATCTGAAATGGACCACTTATTTTTAAGTAGGGTTTCTAATCTAGTTAATATTTCACTATGCTTAGTATTTTTAATACCAGGAGGAAACTTAGAGCTGGTCTGTTAGTCTCTTGTTTTATGAATGAGAGAGCAAAATTCAATGGTTTCCAAATTCAAGACAGTCTAGACCTGGAAAAGAGCATGGCGTAGGCCATGTTCTCCTCTGCTCTAGGATACTAGTATTTTTATGTTTTATTTAAAGAGCAGATAAATACTCCATTACCATATTGAACCATGAACAAATTTGAATATGCACAAATTCTCAGTAAGTGTTAGTTGTCCTAGTTTTAGGAGATGTATTATACATGCTTTAATTTGCAAGATATTCAAAACAATAACAAGCATGTATTGAATCTTATTTGCTTTATGCACACATAACTTACTTTATCAGGACCTTACAGTTAGCCTTCTGCACAGGAGAGGCTTCAGTCTTACACCTAGGGACTATAGAGTGAGGTTTTAATTCAATTTACACACCATCTCCAGTATTACGCTCTTCAATTCTTTTCATCTCCAAATGATTTCAGGCAGGATCACATGCCCTCTCTCTCTGCCTTTATTTATACCTATCCTGGGGCTTGAATTCAAGGTCTAAGTGTTATCCCTGAGCTTTCTTGTACAAGGCTAGCACTCTACCATTTGAGCTACAGCTCTACTTCTGGCGTTTTGGTGATTACCTGGAGATAAGAGTTTCATGGACTTTTCTTCCCTGGCTGGCTTCACACCTCAGCTCTCAGCTTCCTGAGTAGCTAGGACTACTGATGTGAGCTGCAAGCACCCAGGTCACATACATTTTTAATATTCCTCACACATAAGAAAATTATATTTATTCAATCAACTCTAGTATGCGGATAAATTAATGAGTCATGACTCAAAGGTCCAAACCTTTCTCTTTAACCTGGGTTCCACATAGGCAAAGCATCTTTTACACTTTGCTTTCCTTGTTGCTACTTTGTACATTCAGAATAGACATTCCTTATTTCAAATACTTGTTCAAGTAGCACCTTTTCATATTATACTTTTTTTGGGGGGGGTCCAGTCGTGGGGCCTGAACTGTGAGTTTGGGCGCTGTCCCTCAGCTCTTCAGCTCAAAGCTAGCGCTCTACCACTTGAGCCACAGTACCACTTCCGGCTTTTTTCTTTTTGCTTATGTGGTGCTGAGGAATCGAACCCAGGGCCTTATGAATGCAAGGCAAGTGCTTTACCACTGAGCCACCTTCCCAGCCCATCATATTATACTTTTGAGGAAACAATCCAATAATATTCAGTTTTAAAATGTGAACTGCTGAAGTCAAATAAGCATATGGACCTTTACCTATAGACTTCATTGGCAGCTAGTGGTAAACTTCAGTCATTATTTTTTCCCATTCTTTCTTATTTAAAGGAAAACCTCCTTTGGTGTGCAATCCCATATACTGGACATTTTATGTACCAGTTATATCATGAGTCTAGTTTGTTTAGAGTATTTTCTTGCTAGATTTATAAGCATTTTTTTTCATTTTGACTGCTCCTACTTAGTTCTTCCATGTCTTTCTTTTTTTTTTCTTGACATCTTTCTCTTTTACTTCATTCTCCCTCTTCTCTCTCTCTCTAAAGAAAATTTCCTCACTTGAATGTGTTATTTTCTGTTAGTTCATGTCACTTCTCTATTGACTTAATAAAAACACCAAGTTTTTTTTTTAGAAACTTAATTTTCCCCTGTACAAGGCATTTAATTTTTCTGATTCACTTGCATATGATGCAATACTTAAATACTGTTTTCCTGGCCTGTAATGACACAAAGATAATTGCAGGCAAATTTCACTCCTCACAGCTTCCTTCTGCAAGTATTTTATTTTGATTTCCTCATCTTTGGCCTTTCTTCATATGATACTTCTTTCCAATTGTTTCTTTATGTTAGAGTCAACCTTTTGGTTTTGCTTACTTTCTCCTCCCCCTCTACAAGTCCTCTAATAAAAATTATGTCAGTATATTTAAAAAGTAGGAATAATACTTCCTACCTACTTTGCTGTATCAATGTAGTAAATTGAATGGATTCCGATTGGAATAATTGACCAGAGACCAAAGAATTAACTTACTTCCTACTTTTATCCAGTGTTAGATATAAACATACACAGCTTCTTACTACACACCTTTTCACTTCTCTGTTCATTGATTTACTCATTCAAAAATTAGTTTTTGACAGACCCCCCCCAACTGTGTGTTCTATACATACTATATTAGGCATGAGAAAACATGGAGAACATGGTCTCTGACATTATGGTTCTTAGATGGCTTCTAGGTGAGACCGTAGGTCACGTCTCATTGACCAGGAAGTTAACAATGATGAAACCATTCTATGAAATCCAGGCTTAGACTCTGAGCCTCTTGGCAGCACTGACTGTGACTGTTATTAGTGGAGTATCTGGCAGAGTTCACATGGAAAGAGGTATGGAATAAATAAAATAAAATGAGAGTTTCAGTGACAGAAACTCAGGGATGTAATCTAAGGTAATTATATAAACACGGTTATAGTCAAGTACATGGTTACTTGGACTCATTCTGTAGGGAGTGAGTCATCAGTAATATTCTCCATGTTCTGCTGGATGGAGTGTTGATCTTATAGAGGCCGTAAGCCATTACTGGAATTCATATAGTGGAATTGTAATAGCACGTAAGATGAGTGTGGAATTTTTTTAAGTGCATCAAAAGGTATTGATGCTATAGAGTACTGACTGCAGCAGGCAGTGTATTAGAATTCTAGCTACAATCCTTATTCTGTTTGCCCATGGATACAGAAATCAAACAATTAAAAAGAGTCCAAAGAAGTAGCATTCTTCATTGTCCATGAATCAGAAATATATATTTCAGTGAATGTAGAAGCATTGCTAGTTGAAGGCATCGCTAATGGAAACATAGCTTATTTTCCCCTACTTTCCAACAAAAATGAATACAAATATCCTATTCAAGAATGTAAATGAAATCTTCATATCCATCTAGAAGTTCTATCCATTCTTTTACTTACTCCTTTGAATCATCGTACATTTGGAAATCAAATACACTTTTTAAAGAATTCTTAATAACGCCCAGTAATAAGAAAAATATCAGCATTATCTCTTTCCTTTTCTTGTTTTAAATTTTTCTTTCAATACTAGGGATTGAACCCAGAGCATTGCACAAGCTAGCCAAGTACTCTACCACTTGAGCTATCCATCCTCAATCTTTCATGGTAGTTTAATAAAGAACAGAAGTATCGACACTTCCATATGAACTGTTGACTCAATTCTGGATTTAGTCCCTGTCTAGAAGCTCAGAGGCTGGGGATGAATGGTAGACCTTGCCTGGCTGTGCATGCCAAGGGCTGCCGCTCCTCTTGTGGTCTCATCCTGCATGTCGTGCTTCAGATGGGCACTTTGGGTTCTTCCACACCCATTTTTTTATTACTAGCAACTGGATTTCTGTTTAATGGCATGCTAAATGAATTCTGTGTTCTGTTATGAAGAAGATGCTAAAGATATTCCTCCTCCCTTGTCTAAGAATAACATCAATGTATTGTGTTTCTATCCCATAACTTACTTGGCAAAAAACAACAACAAATAAAACCCTTTCAAGTGTTTTCCGTGTTGTCATAGAAGCAATATCTAGGTGTCAAATCTGGTTCTGTTGCTAGTAGTTATAAATAGACCCATGAGACACCTATATGTTGCTTTTATTTTATTGTTGTTTTGGTGTAGAGATCTTGCAAATGCAGTGAAAATGGGAAAGACATTGGTATTGTTGTTTAACAGTCTTCACACTGCGTGTATCTGTGTATGTGCGCACAATAACTAAATTATTGTGCTATTTAATCCTTTGATCTTTGAGGAACTGAGTGCCAGAGAGGGTAAGGATTCATAAAGAGACAAGGCTTCAAGCTCAATCATATCATTCCAAAGGAAACAACTGATAAATTCAGAAAATTTCTCTTGGTGCACTTAAAATAAATGGAGTCAAAGTTAATAGGTGCAATTATATTACCAAGTTATGACTTTCCACATTCAGTTGACTATACATTGGGGGAAAATCCTAATAGACATCTCCCACTAGCATGAGACCAGAGCATCCCACCCAAGTTATACTTCAGAAACAGAACAAAGAGTAAGTATATTAATAGTCTCCGATCTCATTCCCTCTCTTTCAATTAAAATGGTATGTCAGGGAGATCCCAGCTTAAAAAGTGAAAATGTTCTTGTAAGTAGCAGATAACTTCTATTCCCAGCATTGAGCTGTTTGCTTTTCATCTTTGTCAGGAAACAACGAGTTCAATATCATTTTGCATAAGATGACGTTGAAACAGGAGGGATTGGCATGACTGGAAGGAAGTACTTAAAACTTTTTAAAGTCATGGATTTGTATGACAGTGGGCTAGACAATGTATAATTCTGAAAAGCCAAATTGAATTAATTTAGAAAAATGGCAATTCAGTCTCTCCTCTTTGATCTATGCTTCCATTATTTTAATGTGAGGATTATTTCGGACATAGATAGGAGGATTCAGAAGACTTTGTGTTGATAACAAAAGAAAACTTGTCAATGAATGTCATATAATTCCATCCCAGTTTCTCTCAAACTCAGTTAGATCTATTTTCAATTTTACAGTTAATATTCAACATTATTGACAAAGATTGGGATTGTCCTTTTGTAACAAATGGCAGTGATACATGATTGAAACAATATAAATAAAATAATAAAATTTGAAATCAAAGGTTTTACCACCATGCCATCCGACTAAAAAGAAACATTTGAGAACAAACTTTATGAAAAAAAAGTTAACTGCGCAAAGCTTGCTTATTCTTCTATTTCAACACAGATTTAATCTCCTTCTTGAACTTTTAGTTTCCTGGTTAGTTTTATGGTGGATGCCCGAGGCGGTGCTATGAGAGGATGCAGACACAATGGGCTCCGGATCATTATTCCACCTCGGAAATGCACAGCCCCAACACGAGTCACCTGCCGGCTGGTTAAACGCCATAGACTGGCGACAATGCCTCCAATGGTGGAAGGGGAAGGCCTGGCCAGTCGCCTGATCGAAGTTGGACCCTCTGGTGCTCAGTTCCTTGGGTAAGGGTTTCTGCTAAGCCTCTTACTTAATCACCGCTGAACTGTGTCCCCCAATGAGATCCCTAGGATGGAATGCCACAGGTACGTCGCTCCCTTGGGGAAGAAGGTTGGTGCCTTGCCATATTTCTAAGAAACACAAGTGAGATCTGATGCCCGCTATCCGCCTATTATTCCGGGCAGGAAAAGGTTAAACATTCAAGTTTATTATATATTTTTTTTCTCTTTCAATGTGTTAGTAGCTGTTTGGCTCCCAAAGTGATGGTAGAAAAAAAATTTTTTTTTTTCTCAACTGAGACTTAAGTGTCAAAGTGTTAAGAAAAGAAAAACAAAACTGGCATCAGTAGCTCATGCCTATCATTCCCAGGAGGCTGAGATCTGAAGATTGCTGTTTGAAGCCAGTCCAGCCAGGAAAGTCCAGGAGACTCATTTTTCTAATAAACTACTCAGAAAAAAAAGCTAGAAGTGGAGCTATGCCTCAAGTGGTAGAGTACTAGCCTTGAGTACAAAATGACTCAAGGATAGCACCCAGGCCAAGTTCAAGTCCCAGACCCAGCAAAAGAGAAAGAAAAGGAAAAAAAAAACCAACAAAAAACAACTTGCTTTATTCTAAGCCCAAATTTATGAAACAGTATTGTTCTCTTCACTTTGAAGAAGAGTGTTGCCTTTAGAGACTATGGAAAGATTTTGTTTGTGTGATTTTATTTTTTTTCTTTTCTGTTATCAAAATTGCTACACTAAGCTTGAAAAGGACCCTAACTGCTTAGGTAGCCTCAGCTGGTGTTGAGAAGAAAACATTAATGCTCCCTTTCGCCATGCTCGGGTTTTTTTATTTATTTATTTTTTTTGGCAATTTCGAGCAGCTTTATTCTCTCTTCTGTTGGTTTGTATGACTGCTGTTTTTTTTTATGAAGTGGCATCTCTGTGTGTCAAGAAATGAATAACAATGGTTAAAATAAAAATGGACACAAGGATGAAGTTTTAGAGCGGGGACAAGTTTCAAATTCTTTTTGAAACCAATCAATTGTATTTAAGTCTGTCACCTCAAGTCTCTGCAACAAAAAAACTGGAGGAAATGTTGTCCATTGTCATTGCCTGGTGGGGAAGAGGATTTCTTACTTTAGAACTTGGGAGATGTTCTAAAGGCTGTAATTTGGAGCAAATGGTTCACAAGTTGTCCCAAATTACTCTCCTACTGCAAAAAAGGTGTGCCAATATGTGCCTATTGCAAAAATCACCCTTGTGTACCCTCCTGTCAGGCAGATCAGTGCTTTAGGGGCCTGTGAAGTTTTGGGGTGCTTTGGGAAAGATCATTAAGGTTGGAGAGATCGCTGATGATTCTTTTCATATTCTAACTTCGGACCCCTCCCCACCCCACCTCTTTTTTTTTTTTTGCCCACATGCTCAGGTAGCTGTAGGGCCTTAAAAAAAATAAATCTTCAAATCTGTTGGGAAATATTCAGAAAACATCTGGCCTCTAGACAGAGCAGAATTTTTCTTATATTCCCAACAGCTTTGTGAAACATTTTTTTCCCCACTTCTTTTTTTTTTTTTGGTTGGCTAGTGCCCTGGCAGTGAATCTAATTAAGGACCTATCTGACAGCCCAGTGCTCTTCTGGCCACAGACGCACCTCCATTGTCCACTCTGGGTTCTCTGTCCCTTGCTCTTTGTGGACCAATGGAGAGAGCAGAACCACACACAAGGTGACACCCAAAGTCACCCTGTGCATCAGCTGGTGATGCTGGGGTTCTGTGGACGATGACACCTGAAGCTCACTTATGTTCTTTCTTTCACTGCTGCTTTGGATGTACTCTCAGTAAACTTCACCTGCCAACGGCTCCTCCCCCACTTAATGAGGGAGAAAGTCTGGTCAGCCGCATCCTTCAGCTGGGGCCTCCTGGAACCAAATTCCTTGGGTAGGAGTGACTTAAAACAAATTGATGGCTGCTGGGCCCCCCCATTCTTCTCCTCCTTTTGCAATATGATTTCTCTTCTTGTCATTGTGCCCCATGACATGTCCCTCTCTCTATGATTTAAATTCTGTATAATCTATCTCGAGTGGACCATTTCTGACCCTTGTGGTATGTGACTTTTGTTTTTGTTTTTTGTTTTTGAGTGATGTTTCTATATCTTTCCCCTTTAAGTGCTGTGATCTTCATTTTCGTTCAAGCATGAGGTCTGCCTAGCTATACTCTGTGCTAGTTCCAATGTGGTTATAATGAGTTTGGAGTCTGTATCAAAGCAACCTGGACTCAAAAAAAAAAAAACAATTGAAAGCCCCTCTCTAATTTTTTTTTGAGGATGAATGTGCTATTAAAAAATTGTAGGATGGTGCATGTTCTGAATCCTGAACGTAATAGGCATTGGACACATTTCTGACAAGCCATACTGTGTGTGTACACATGCCTATTGTTTCTTTGAAGTAAATATAGACAAAACCCTAAGTGCATGGCTCATTAGCACAAGTAATCTACCTTTTTGGCATCTCATTTAGAATACATCGACTTCTTCAATGTATGAGCCATTTCCCTTCTCGTAAACCATTTTGTCATTTTTTTGTTTATTTTTGCACTTCGTAGAAAATGTTTCAGGAGATTGGCATACGTCCTAGATATGCATGCACATTTCTTTTGGTTAAATGTGTTCTACCTACATTGATCAAAGGAGAAGTTCCAGAATGCCACATGCACTCACAAGGAAATGTCATTTGGCTTATAGTTGCAGCATGTACCTAAGGATCGGTGGTCCTGCGGTGGAGAGCTACTGCACCACCATCTGCTAATCACCGGGCTATGGAGGACAGCCCGCTATGTCCCCAGAAAGGGCAGAATTCCAGGTCACTTTGTAACAGACAGGGTCGAGGTGTTTGTCTCTCCGTGGGTTAGCTCTTGTCCACACTCAGTGTTCTGCATTGTTATGTCAGGCCTGTGATCGTGGAGATCCCGCACTTTGCCGCCCTTAGAGGGAAGGAGAGGGAACTTGTGGTCCTGCGCAGTGAGAATGGGGACAACTGGAAAGAACATTTCTGTGACTACACCGAAGATGAGCTGAATGAGATTCTTAATGGCATGGATGAAGGTACTTCAGTGGAGGATTTTAAAAGATGCATAAAAATGATGTATTTCTTCCTTTTAACTTAAGTGTGTGGGTGTGTGCCTTGTTCAGCTACAAGCAGAGTCTCTGCTATGTTCCGATGTGATGTGTTGGAATGCATGTCGGGGTTCATCTAATCTTGCTTCTGTTATATTCAAGAAAAAGAAAATTCTGTAAGACAGCAAATGCCTCTTCTAATAAGGAGCTACAAAGCACTTCCGTATTTAGTAAAACTTTTTGGAATCTTAAATTAGAATAGATGTTGTTTTGTAGCAAAATGGATGATACTGGATAATAAAGCGTGACTTTTTAAAATATTAGAATTGAGGCTGAGAGCTGATGGATTGATTATACCTATAATCCTAGCTAATTAGGAGGCTGAGATCTGAGGATCATGGTTCAAAGCAATCTGGGCAGGAAAGTCCATGAAACTCTCATCTCCAATTAACCACTAAAAAGTCAGAAGTGATGTTGTGGCTTAAGTGGTAGCGAATCAGGAGTGAACAATCTAAAACAGGTCCTAATTTCAAGCACCAGTACTGGAACAAAACAAAATAAAAATGCCAAATTGGAAAACTTTAAATGTCCTGATTTCAAGCCCCAGTATGTGAACAAAACTATAATGCCAAATTGGAAATTTTAAATCTCAGAAACTTAGTGTTAAAGTGTTCTGTTGGAAATCTTGCATCTAACAAAGTATGTTAGAGGATAAGATTTCTTTTTAACTTTTTATTATTAAAGAGACATGAAAATTAAGTTCATTCAGTCTTTTGCCTATAACTCAGAGCAGGGAGTTAGTCAGGGTTAAATAGCCTACACACACAATCATATCTAATTGGGTACCATGATTTTTGTTTAGAGCAGCTCTCATGTCTGTATTATTCTGTAAAAGCACAATTGAAATATTAGGCCTTCATAGGGTACATGGAGAAACACTACTAACCAAATTCTGAGGCACAGTCTACTTTAAATCACTACAAAGAAAATAGGGCAAATCCCTTGCCAAATGCCAAAAAACATTGATGGACATGTGAGAGACATATAGTTGTTTGTCAAGTTTTTCAGTCTTCCAGGACTCCTGGTGATAGCTTCAAGTGGCTAAAGAGAATAAAGTATAAAGAATAGAATAAAGAATAAAAGAATAAAGAATAGAATAAAGAATAAAAGAATAAAGGCCATCTTCATAGGGGTATATGGAGAAATAAAATATGCCCTCTAAATAAAATAAAATATGCCCTTAAAATAAAATAAAATATACCCTCTAAATAAAATAAAAATAGAAGATGGAATAAAAGAATAAAGACTACCTTCATAAGGGTGTGTGGAGAAATAAAGTATGCTCAGTAAATGTGGAGGTTAGAATATACAACAGTTGCACTGGACATTGATGAAAATGGGCTAAACAACTCAAAGGCATTGATGGGAGGGAGGGTATGAGAGAGAAAGAGGAACAGCTTACACTAAGCAAAGGGAAAGAAATGTACATAGCACCCGATGTGGGAACAAATAGTTGTAATGTCGAAGCTCATAGAATTCACAAACATTATAGACCAGAATAATGACCATTTTCCTTGTGAAGGTTAAAATGAGATAGTGACAGTTAAAGTCACAAATACATTTTAAACACTGCGAAATTTGTAAATTTTATGTAAACACTTAATCTCAATAAAAATTAAAAACAAAGAAAGTGAATTGAGTAGAACCCTTCAACCTTCCTGGTGGGCTATGAAATGACGCAGAAGCTGTGGGAGACACATTACAAGGACCATAACCAGAATCAACGACAGAGGGGAACCAACCTCAGGCTGGGGAGAGTATTTCATAAAGTGTTCATTTTTTTCAATTAAAATTTTAGAGAATTAAAAAAAGAATAAAGACTACTTTCCTAGGGGTGTGTGAAGAAATAAAGCATGCTCTCTAAATGTGTAGAATAGAATCCTCCAAACAAAGTGATCAGAATTCTCTTTTTGTTCATTTTGCAATAGAATCTTCCTATGTAGCACAGGCTAGCCTTGAACTCTTGATACTCATGCCTCAGCCTCCTAAGTACTGAGATTTTGGCCATGTACCATCAAACACAATTCCAGAGTTCTTGCTAATAAGGCTTGTCCCCTGTAATACTTAGCTTCTTGGGAGCCATTTGTTTTGGTAGCACACTGATTTGGGATATATTCTTCTGAAGGATTACCTGTCATTGACATAGACATGAGTAACGGCATCTTGCCATTTAATGGGGACCAACCTTTCTATATATGTAAAGGTTTCTTTTGAAATGAAAAAAAATCAGATTTGTGTATATTTGTGTTTGTATGCTTGGAAGTATGTTTTTGTTTTCATAAGCATATGCTAGGCATTTGTTTGAGTATCAGCCCTTGATTATAAATAATCAGATCTTGGTCATTTGCCTTTTCCTAGCTAGTCTTGCATACCCAGCAGTCAACCAAAAATAGTTACTATCAATGCCTTTATAATTAATTAAAAATTATTTCTAAAAAGGAACCGGTTTCCAAATCCCTTAAAATTCAGTGAGCCATTTAGTTCAAATATTCTGTGTTTTCAACCAGTCTGTTTTCTTTGTATTACCCTACATATCTACACTAAAACAATTTATATAGAACCCAGCCTTTGATCTTAGATGATATATCCAAGTGACAAGCACAGAAACACCTACCTCATTGGTATAAACATATGAATATAAACCTTACCCTTTCAAGTCCCATTTTTATTCCTGCACTGTTTCCCTAAGAATGCAAAAGGGCTATGTTAGTTCTTAAAAGTAGAAGAGCTGGTCTTGAGGTAACTTTGAATTGTGCAAGGAGAAATTGTGCAGCATTCAAGAATAGAACAAGTTCATCTTCAGGGCTGGTTTGTCCACAGACACCCTCCCGTACACAATATGAGATCCTCTCTTTCACAGTGGCCCTGAAAAGTGCCACCTTCACAAAGAACATGTGCAAGCTAAACACTGGCAGGCCATAAAACGATCCAATACTGATTTTCTTCTGTTGTGAAGGCAACCTGGCTTTGACTATTTTTCCCATTCAGATAGGAACGAGTTTTTCTTCTACATCGGCTCACTATTACCTGTGTCAGTGAGTTTGCTAGGATGCTTGCTAAAGGAAATGCTTGCTAGATGCAGATGCGTCATTTCTTGTCTCAGTGCTGGATAGCCCGGAAGACCTTGAAAAGAAACGAATCTGCCGCATCATCACTCGGGACTTTCCGCAGTACTTTGCGGTGGTCTCTCGCATCAAGCAGGACAGCAACCTGATCGGGCCGGAGGGAGGCGTGCTCAGCAGCACCGTGGTGCCCCAGGTGCAGGCCGTGTTCCCGGAGGGGGCTCTGACCAAGCGCATCCGAGTGGGGCTCCAGGTAAGCCCGCGTGGAATGCAGTGGATCCTTCCTTCCATGACTGCTTCCCCCCCAACAATTAAACATTTCCCTTACAAATGAGAATCAAATGATTCCTGACTGAGCAAAAGTTGCCATCAGAGACCCTAAGTCCGACAAAGTTGGATGTGAATGCTCAGGAATAGTATTTAGTATGTATATCAATTAATATACGTGCTAAAATGAACTCCAAGACATGGAATCAAAAGACCACCACCTCCTCCTCCTCCTCCTTCCTCCCCCTCTCCCTACCCCCTACTTCTTGGTTCTCTAGTTTTTGATGATTCTGTCTTCTTCACCTTATGTATGGTGTATTCACAGAACTCGAAGGAAGAAGGGTGAAAATGTGCAGCAGGGTTGCTCATTGGACACTGGTGAAAAGGAACTATATAACTCATGGGTGGAGATGGGAGGGAGGGAGTGGACAAGAATGAGGAAACAGAAGACACTGTACAGAAGGAAATGGACTCATTACCTGATTCATGTTATTGTAATCCTCCTGTACATCACCTTTATAATAACAATTAAGTAAATTAAAAATGATGTTCCGACAAACCACTTGATTCAAACATGTTGATCAGAGTCCCTGTATTTCCACATCTATACTTCTGTTTATCAATAAAAGTGAGGAAACAATGTGAAAAAAAATCTTTATGGCTGCCATATTTGAAGTCCACCAAGCTAATTGTGAGATGAAAAGCAATATATTGGCTAAGACATTTGGCATTAGGTGTAAGGATACATAGTTTAGTTTAATGTGTTTCTTTACTTTGAAAGGCTCAGCCCATGCACAGTGAGCTTGTTAAGAAGATCCTAGGAAACAAAGCTACCTTCAGCCCCATTGTCACTTTGGAGCCTAGAAGAAGAAAATTCCATAAGCCAATCACCATGACCATTCCAGTCCCCAAAGCTTCAAGTGACGTCATGTTGAATGGTTTTGGGGGAGATGCACCAACCTTAAGATTGCTATGCAGTATCACAGGTGAGTCACATAGGGCTATGTTAATAGAGAACTCTAAATGAAGAAACTTTAAGTATTCGTTAAATTACTTTCGGTATAAGATGTCTGTTGGGTTCCATGCAACAAATCAGGAAAATCACTTTCAATTAATTAAGGAAAGTAAATGGTAAAAGGAAATGTGCTTGTCAAATTATTAGATACCTTACATACATTACTATTTAATTGATATGGGAAATTCTGTAAGGAAACTTTAACTTCATTTTGCTGAGCATTAAACCAACATAGAAAGATCTGTACTTTGCTTGACAGGGTTCAGGGTCAAACCCTAGCCCACACACCTCCAAAGGCAGGCTTTCGGGGTTCACTGAAGACTTGTATCCATTTGAGAGAAAAATAAAAGTTGCATCTTTATTGTACTCAGTAGTCCAACCAAATGGTTCCATGTAGGAATTGTTTTTGTCTTCATCACAACAGCATATAGAATTACCTTTGGAAAATCAGAGAGAGTTTTTTAAGATTGGCTGATATTTGGTCTTTTCATTTGGTAGTTGTAATCATTTTCAGGCTACTACGTTCTCAAAAGAGATTCACAAAATAATGATTTCCTCTTCATAACAAAGTCACTACAAATGATCAGAGGTCAAAAAATAATACTAATAACCTATTTAAGGACTGCATAACTGGGCTAATTAACACTTGCCTGGTTTGAGCATTCAGCATATATGAATATGGTCATTAGGAAGGATAACACATCCCTGGTTGTTTTAGTTGTATTTGGAGTTTAAAAAATGTCTCCTTCATGTTGACAGAAATATTCAATCCTATTTTTTGTTGTCTTTTTCTAATTCTTTCAAGACAAAGAAAAATTAAGCTTGACCCCAAAGTTTGGTGACAGAAATTTGATTTTGATGGACCACAATGTGTGTAAGGAAAAAAAATCATTTGCTTCTCATAAGATCGCTTCAGAGATCATGCTTGCCCAGCCATTACTTAACTTTCCTATAATATCTGTTCTGTGGTTGAGTATACAACAAAGAAACTTCCTCATCTATCATGAGATGCATAATGATACATAAAGAAAACATGAGACTGAAGAGTGTCTATGGCAGACTGCCTTTGTGATATCCAAGGATGATGTCATATGGGCATGGGTGCCATTTATTCTAATTAATCCTGTGTCGTGTCTTCAGATGGGCTGTTGCTACTCTTAATTCTCTACACTTAATTAAAATTATTTAAAAATAATAAGTACATTTACATTAACTTAAAATACCTAAACGTTTGGATATTTGTATTTTGCTATATTATATAATTTCTGCTAAGTATTTTTGGCGGCAGTCTGAGGGAGTGATGTGGGCATATTTTAAAACCTACTAGAATAAGCTTGCATAACTTTGTGTTTGATAAGTGACTCTCTTCTTTAAGAAACTTTGCAGTCAAGAGGGTTTTTTTTTTCATTCCAGACATACCTTGCTTGTATTCTTTGATTGGTTTTTGTTTTCATCTGGAAATTTAATTTCTTAGTAGAAGTAAAATAGGTCATTAGCTTTCATGGGGATTCCTATGGACAAAGATCATCATGTAATATTTCTCTGTACCTCCCTCCTTCCCTCTTTCTCTCTCTCCCTTCCTCCTCCCTCTCTCTCCCTTCCTCCCTCTCTCCTTCTCCCTCCAGCTCCTCTACCACTTGAGCCATGCCCTCCAACCAAAGCTATTCATTTACTCTTTCATTCATTCACCCTGTAGCATCTATTGAGCTATTAATGTTTTTCAAACATTTTTTTTCATTTTTTGAAAAACACTTGCATGAAATAGGAGGTTCATAAAAAAGAGAATATTTAGATTATTTGAAGGAGGTTTCCATCTTTTTATTTAGCTAGAGGATATCTTAAAATAGTCAACTACATACTTCGGAGCCCAGAAATTACAATAAAAGATTGTTAAGGCTGGGCACCTAAGAAGACAGCTAGTACTTAGCTTCCCTGAAGTTTAAGTGTTTGAACAGTGGTCAGTACTGAGGAGTCTTTTGCTTTTCTTTATAATCCCCCAATGTTCGTGTTTTGGCCTGCAGATTTTTGTGCTTTTCATTTTGCTTTCAATGTGTATTTTGAAGGGGGTGAGGGATGGGACTGGTGAACACAGCGCGAATCGGTGACTTGTCTTTAAGGCCCAGAGTCCGGAGTCTTGCCTTAACTTCCTTTCACATTCGTATTGTTTCAGGTGGAACCACCCCTGCCCAGTGGGAAGACATCACAGGAACCACGCCACTCACGTTTGTCAACGAGTGTGTTTCCTTCACCACCAACGTGTCTGCCAGGCAAGTGGAAAACTCCATGCTGTTTCCACAACTTCCCCCAAACCCACTGGTGGTTTTTAAAAATTTTTATTGTTGTTGTTTTATTTTTTTTCTCTTAATTCATTAAAAGTGATTTTTTTGTTTGATTTTAATGACATTTTTGTTTAATGACTTTCTCATTTTGAACTACATCTGTCAGGTAATACACCAGCAATACACTAACAAAGACCTACTCATCAGATTAAAATTGAAGGCAAATAAGTGCCTATTTGCTTTGGCTGTGTGATTCGATAACTCTGGCTGTGGTTTTACAGTCACAACTGATTTTTCCTGTCTCAGAGGTCTTAGGAATGAGAAATTTTCTGTTGTTAACCAAATAGCCTCAGTTGCTGATTCAGCAACACAAACACAACTCCCTGTTGTTTGCTCAAAGATCTCAGAGGATTCTTATACAACCTAACACATTTGCATATTATCTAGTTATATCTTAAATACCTTTATTCATATCTCAAAAAGCTGAAGCTACCTTGTTTTATATAATTTACCGCACATTAACTCAGGTTTTGACTCTTAAGTTCCCATTGGTATGGTCTTTAATTGAATGTTAAGCAGCTTCATGGTTTTAATTTGATATTACGAGGAGTGCATAACTGAAGTGGAACAACAAACCACACATTCACACATTTATTTTACAGATGGGAACAGTTAAAACTTAAGTTCTAGCTAGTCTCCCACCTGTAATCCTAATAACTCAGGAGGCTGAGACCTGGAGGGCCACTGTTCAAAACTAGCAGAGATAGAAAAGTCCAAAAGACTTCATTTTCAAATAGCCAGCAAAATTTCAGACTGGAAGCATGGTTCAAGTGATAGAACACCAGCCATGAGTAAGCAAGCCAAGCAGAAGGGAGAAATCAAGCTCAAGCCTCAGAATTAAACACACAGACACACACACACACACAGATACACAGACACAGACACACAGACACAGACACACACACACACACACACACTTAATTTCTATGAGCCAGGGAAGAAAAGATTGAAATGCAGAAATAGTTGAGTAATAGGACACACCACAAGCAAGGTGTGTTGGAACAGTTCATGCGCAGGGTAGAGCTACTGAGTCAATAGGTGTTTCAGTTTGTGTTCTGTCAATCATACATCCACATTCTAATGCCACAAAATGACTACTTCTTTTGCCCTTTTTTTTTTTTTTTTGCTGTCCTGGACTTTGAACTTACAAGCCTCATGCTTGCTGTGAAGTCATTTTACCCCTTGAGCTATGCTTCCAGACTGACTTTTGACTGATTATTTTTGGGAAAAGAAGAGTTTGCATGAACTTTTCTGCCTGAGCTTGTTTCAAATTGTGATCCTCCACATCTTAGCCTCCGGAAGAACTGAGACTAGGTGTGATTCACCAGTGCCTGGATAAAATGCTCTTTAAAATGATTAAAATGGGAAACTTGGTTATGCACATTTTGTTACAATTTGAAAGAGAGATAGATGAAATTTTTTGAAAGAAAGAGAGGTTTAACTGGATAAGAAGATCTCTAGGAATGTTGAAGACTGTATGAAAAGAATCAAGACTAAGAGAATAATCGCTGGAGAAAGATTTAATAGAAGATTATGGAATACATCTTCGGAAGTCTATAAATAGAAAGTTGGAAAAGTGTCTACCTGTTGATCTCATTCTCTCCATGAAACTATTTTTTTTTAGAACCTGTGGTGAAGGTGAAGCTCTGAGAGTTTGCAAATATTTAGCAACATTATTGTGCTGAGAAAAATGACATTCAAACAAAAGCCTCCCAACATCATCTCATATTTCATGGAGTCTGGAAACCATACATTCTGAAGCCAATAATTTATTCTCTGAAATCTACTCAGCACTACCTGAACATTCTAGAGAAGATTTTTTTAAATGGTAGAGTTGATCTAATCTTGAGGACTGGAAAGGTCCTTGGGAAAGAATGTGGCTATAGGAAAAGCTGAGAACTTACTGTCAAAAAGCATCAGGACATCAAATTAAAAGTAGGAGGGGGCTGGCACTGGGAGCTCATGCCTGTAATCCTAGCTACTCAAGAGCTTGAGATCTGAGGGTCAAGGTCCAAAGCCAGTCCAAGCTTTGGACATGAGACTCTGGCCTCCAATTAACCACCACAAAGCCAGAAATGGAGCTGTGGCTCAAGTGATAGAGCACCAGCCCTGAGTGCAAAAGCTAAGGGACAATGCCTAGGCCCTGAGTTCAAGCCCCAGAACCAGAACAACAATAACAATAACAACAAAAAAGTAAAAGTGGTAAGCAGGGAAAATAATAGGACCTCATTCACATATACCATAGAGTCTCCCATACTGGACTTATGAATCTAAATGAATCTGAAACACTAAAGATCTTTGCAGAAAACTGAATACAAAGAAGAGTTTGTAAGGAAGAAAAACACAAATATAACACTGAATAGTTGGTCTGAGAATCCCGATACATCTTTATCTCTTCTCTTTGTTCTTTTCCCCTTTTGTACTTCTTTTGCTACCTGACTTCATAGTCTCTTCCTTCTTCTTCCCTTTTCTTTCACCTTCTGATTATTATCCCCTTCTTTCATTTCCTTCTTTTCCTAAGAAATATTTGATGGCTCCATTGCTCATAAGGTCGATGTGTTTTCAAGGGGTTTATTTTAAACTTTACATAATTGCTCTCCTTTCCTTTTATAGATTCTGGCTGATAGATTGTCGACAGATCCAAGAATCTGTTACCTTTGCATCACAAGTATATAGAGAAATTATTTGTGTACCTTATATGGCCAAATTTGTAGTGTTTGCCAAATCCCATGATCCCATTGAAGCCAGGTTAAGATGTTTCTGCATGACTGATGATAAGGTGGACAAGACTCTTGAACAACAAGAAAACTTCTCTGAGGTGGCCAGGAGCAGGGATGTAGAGGTACTGTATCAAAAAGATAAATATGCTATACTGTCACAGCTTTATTATTGGATTATGTTTCAAATAGAGTATAATATGCAGGGTAGTTTTTTTTAAAGAATATTTTATACCTGTATTAGCTTAAAGGACCAAAATCAGACAGCCCCAAATAAGTCGTTTTCAACCGATTTAGGCCTGTCCTATAGGGTTGATCTCTATGAACAGGAGAAGATAAAAAGATTCCTATAAAGATAATTTGGAGGGCTAGGGGATGGATCAAATGGTAGAGCTGATGGAGAGTTGCTTAGCTAGCACAAGGCCCTGAGTTCAACTGTACTACTGACAAAGAATAATATTTGGAGAAACACTATGTTTTAATGATGAACTCAAAATACATTGATAACAATCCCATTTTGATGTCTCACTTTTCTTGGTTGCTTTTCTTTTCTATTTTTCTCTGCCTTTCTTTCTTTCCCTTTCTTTCTTTTCTTTCTTTCCTTTCATTCTTTCTTTTCTTTTCTTTCTCTCTCTTTCCTTCCTTCCTTTCCTTTCCTTCCCTTCCTTCCTTCCTTCCATCCTTCTTTTCCTCCTCATGAACAACAACCCTGTAAGCACTTTGCTTTGTGCAAATATTGAAGTAGGACATTTAGTGGTTCCCCCCCCCCCAATTTCTTTTTACAAAAATGTTTATCAGTGCAAGTCTTTGGATATTGAAGTCTAACCATATAACTCCTGGTGATGTCAAAAGTTACTCACTTGTAATTTTACAGTTAGAACTTATACATACAGATTTTTATGGGGTAACCTGTGAGGTAACACTAGCATGGAGTATTATAAATGAGAACATTAAATACTACCATGAACTTGAAGATTCTTACTACTGATAAAAAAGAGGGAATTCTAGTATATGCTTTCTTTTATATATAAGACAAAAAGGCAATTGCCAACATATTTTTTATCTCTGTTTGTACGTGTATATATAAATTTATCTGTCGGCATATAGTCGTTGTAAAAAAAAAGCGGTTTCAATGTGACATTTCCATGGATGCAAACAATGAATCTGGATCAATCTCATCCTCATCCCCTCATCATTCCTCCCATCTTATTATCCTTCATAAAATAATGTCAGAAGGGCTCATTGTTCTATTTTCTTACATGCAAAGTAACTATATTAATACTCATGCATATATTTAAGAAGTGAAACTTCCAAGTAGTAGTAGTACAACTTCTTTGTGTAAATGCTGTTATAGTTGTATTTAATTCTGTATTTTTTTCTCCATTTTTGCTTAGGTATTAGAAGGAAAACCCATCTATGTTGACTGTTTTGGCAACCTGGTGCCACTAACCAAGAGTGGTCAACACCATATATTCAGTTTTTTTGCCTTCAAAGAAAATAGACTTCCTCTCTTTGTCAAGGTGATGTATACATACAATGTCATCATGCATTTTATTAAAGGTCAAGGCAGGATTTGTTTTCCTCTTTTATATAATTTCCAGTGATTTTTTTTTTTTACTAGTGAAGTTACAGTCCTGGAAAAATCAAACATTTTTAATTTTGAAGCTCAATGTTAACCTAATTTTTTAATTTTTAGACTGTGTTTAAGGAGGAGAACAAATACAAATTATGAGCAGTCCATTAATTAGAAATGCTGACCACTCTTTCCAAACTTGAAGGGAAGTCAACTTTCATGTTTGTTTTTTTTAAAAAAAAGTGATATAACTTTTATCTCTGATTAGTTTTTTGTTTGTTTGTTTGTTTTCAGTGGTGGGGCTTAAAGTTGGCCTGGGTGCTGTCCCTCAGCTCTTCAGCTCAAGGCTAGCACTCTACTACTTGAAGCACAGCACCACTTCCGGTTTTCTGGTGGTTAATTGGATGAGAGTCTCATGGACGTTCCTACCGGGGCTGTCTTTGAACCATGATTCCCAGATTTCAGCCTCCTAAATAGCTAGGATTTCAGGCATTAGCCACCCCTGCTAAGCTATGCTTAGTTTTTTTAAATGTGTAAATTTCACAAATGTAGAGACTAAAAGAATTCTGACAACTTTTTGCAGTAAAATCCCTCATAAGGCCAAACTCTCACTTATGCTAGTAGGCTAAGAGCCTGGATAGAGATAAATTTATTCAACAGATCTTATTGAGACACACCAATGCACCATTAATTTGTTGTTTCTGTTTAGGAATATCCATCCCAGTTAGTGATTTAGCCATTATATATACAAGTTCCTTCGTAAATTCCAATTTCTCTTTAGGATATATGAACTCTAAAGTTCATAAATGTGGATGACTGAGCCGTTTATAAAATCAAAGAAAAATAGTTATTCTCATTTGCTTTGTTTCCAGTTCCTATAATATTTTACTATGTTAAAATTCTGATACTGCAATATGGATGAAACTAGAAATTATTATATTAATTAAAATAAGAGAATGTCTGAGTCCACTTATATAGGAACCTAAATAGACAAATTCCCAGAGACAGAAAATAGCAGTTATAAGGAACTGGTGAAATAAGTTTTCACATAAAAGGTACAATTTTAGTTTTGGGAAATGGGAAATTCTGATAGGGTGATGATTCCACAACTTCACAAATGTGTTTCATCAATGTGTTTCATGCCAATGAATTGTACACTGAAAATAGTAAAAACAGTAAATTTGCACAATGTATACTTTACATTATGTATATTTAAGTTGAATAAATTCTGGAGATCTAATGCACCATGTGGTAACTACAGATAATAATAATATATTGCAGATGGGCGCCCGTGGTGGCTCACACCTGTAATCTTAGCTACTCAGGAGGTTGAAATCTGAGGATCATGGTTCAAAGCCACCCAGGCAGGAAAGTCCATGAGACTCTTATCTCCAATAAACCACTAGAAAACCAGAAGTGGTGCTGTGGCTCAAGTGGTAGAGCGCTCGCCTTGAGCTGAAGAGCACAGGGACAGCGCCCAGGCCCAGAGTTCAAGCCCCACGGCTGACAAAAAAAAAAAAATCTATTGCAAACTAGGTGCTAGTAGCTCATGCCTCTAATCCTAGCTACTCAGGCTGCTGAAATATGAGGATCAAGGTTCAAAACTAGCACAGACAGGAAGGTCTGTGAGTCTCTTATCTCCAATTAACCACCTGAAAACCTAAAATAGAGCTGTGGCTCAAAGTGATAGAGTACTAGCCTTGAGCAAAAAAAGCTCAGGAAAAGTGCCTAGGCCTTGAGTTCAAGCCCCACAACTGAAAACAACAACAACAAAAACAACTATGGTTTATTTGAAATTTGGTAAAAGAGATCTTAGCTTTTCCTCAGTCACACAGAAAAAGGGAGGACAATTTTTATGAGGCAATCAGCATACTAATTAGCTAGGTTATAGTAATCATTTCATAGTATAGACACACATGCAAGCATCACATCATAACCTTTACACTTACACAACTTGTCAGTCATGTTTCAGTAAAGTTAAAACAACTGAATGACATTCTAAAAGTCAATGTAAATGATAAGAGAAAGGAAGACCTGCGAATTTATTTACCAAGCATTATCACATGGAATTTTATTTTCTTCTTTAAATAAGATAATAGTGGATGCCAACTATAGCTGACGCATGTATGTCTTTCTTGTTCAAGGTGCGTGACACAACTCAGGAACCTTGCGGGCGACTATCATTTATGAAAGAACCAAAATCCACTAGAGGTCTGGTGCACCAAGCTATTTGCAACTTAAACATCACGCTTCCAATTTATACAAAGGTATTGTAAAATCTGCTGTAATTCGATGAATACAGTTGCTCAAATGCTTTAAAATGAGCAAGAACAAAGACACTAAATGTAAGCAAAAAAAAAAAAAGTCAAAATTTTCACTCACATAAAGAAAAAAGAAATCTACCTTGGATTGAATTAAATGAATTTTGGTGGAAAAAAATCTATTCATATATAGGACGTGGAAGAGAAAGAGGGATGTTTAGGTTTTATTGTTTTGAAATACCTTTTAAAAGTAATAACTACCTCCTCAGCCTTTTCTATAAGATCAAATAATTGGCCTTGTCTCTATTATTGTTTTACATGCTCTAATTAGAATGGACTAGAATTTTTTTAAGTTTCTTCATTTTTAGCATGACAATGTAGAAAATATCCCTGTGTTACAAGAAGTGAATTTAAAGGAGTACTGAATGAACACTAAATTCCGTACTAAAATGTACCAGTTAGGCATTGCTTTGTCCTCACATATCACCCAATTATACGACTGTAGCTCACTGATTAGGTTAACGTTAAATAAATTTAGAATATTAAATAATTTTAATTCCAAATTAATTAAATGATGTAGGTAACTGCCCTTTTGTTACTGTCACGTATTCTTCCTTCCTTCCTTTCTTCCTCCATCCCTCCCTCCCTCCTCCTTCCTCCCTTCCTTCCTTCCTCCCTCCCTCCCTCTTTCCTTCCTTCCTTCCTATATGTCTGTCTGCTTGCTTGCTTCCTCCCTTCCTCCCTCCCTCCCTCCCTTTCTTTCTTTCTTTCTTTCTTTCTTTCTTTCTTTCTTTCTTTCTTTCTTTCTTTCTTTCTCTCTCTCTCTCTCTTTCTTTCTTTCTTTCCTGGATAGCACTTTTTAATAGGAAGCCACAGATAGCCACTACAGATGACTGTCAGTATTAATTATAGGTAAGGGAAGGAGGTGAATAGAAACTGTTGAGACCCATGGTTGTCAAATTGTGTATTTTGCTTAAACATTTATTCTTGTAATTTAAAATTGTTATGCTCATAACTTTATGTTTGACATTGCAAATTCTTATTATTAGAGATTAAAAATGAAATGACTTGTGAATATATAAAAATATACAGGACACTCCACAAGTTGAAATGTGGTGGTAATTATATCAGCCCAATTAGTACACTCCAGTTGTACTCTTGGTGCAGTATACCCTTTGGAGTTCATGATATTATGAATTATTGGAGTCGCCAGAGGCAGAGTGCCAAACAAGAAACATAAAGAAATACATGCAGGCCAACTGAGTGATATACAGACACGAATAGACTTTAATAGGCTTTGCCTAATTATGGTAGCTTTAAATGTGCTATAGAGGAAAGCATTTCCTTTATTGTACATTTTCTTACAAGGAATGTCAGACATAGTTACTAAGGCAAAGGTCAAAGAATATTTTCCATTGAGTAACACAAAACAAAAAAGAGCAAAATGCTCAGTGTTACATATTTAGATACACAATAACATCTAGCAGATCATTATTCTAATAAAACTCCTACATTCCATATAAGTTTTGGATACGTTTCATCTGTTGTTTATTTGTAGTTTTTAACCTTTACAATCAATCAATACCTGTAAACGACTGGGAGATCATTATCACTATTGGTGTTGACAAATGGTGTTGACAAATGCCATCGAACCTATTAAATGTCAAATTTGGAGGTGGTTGATGACCTAGAAAGTAAAATCAGTATATTTTTAAATTCTGTCTGCTGATTGTATAAGCTTTTTTCATCAATTCATCTTAAATTTTCTTGCCTGCCTTCTGTAAACTTAGAAAAAAAATCGGACTGTGTGCTTGCCTATCAATGTTCGCAGTGTATTTACTCTTCTTTTCTTCTAAACACTCTGCTCTCCCTTCTCTCTTTTTTTTTTCCGTCTTGCATGGCATCTGGGGCATCAAGGAATCAGAGTCAGATCAAGAGCAGGAGGAAGAGGTAACTTAATGATCCTGTCATTTGTCAATACATGTGTCATTGCTGTTACTGCTAAGAGCAGTTAACCTGTTTTTTGTAGAAAGAATAGATAGCTGTTCTTAGTAACTGAAGGGACGGAATTTTACTGAACCTCTGGGAGATGTTTTCTCATCTTGTGAATTGACTTTAGAGTAGCTTCCTTGTAAACTTTAGCTCTTTTTCTATGCAATAATGTCTACTTTCCCACCAACAACTGAGCGATTATTTCAGCACTCTCAAAGGTGAGTCTGGAGGTGCCTGAAGGTCAAAACTCTTTTAATAATGGTGGTTTTGTCATTTTAACTTCTATAATCCTCTACACTCTGGTGGATATCACCAGATAATGTGATATCACCCTGGCAAGTAATGGCATAGTGCTTGTGTGTTCTTGGGTTCTAGCATTGTCTCAGCTGTAATTTGTAGTGCATGCCTTTCTTGATGAGTATTATACATTCTCAGGGCTCTTCAGTAATTTTTAGAAAGGTAGTGTAGTCCAAAGTTCAAAGAAGTGTGAGAATCCCTGAAGCCAAAAGTATTTAGGAGCATATAGCTTATCCATTGGACTATAATAATATTCTAATGCAGAATTGTATTAATGAACACTACTCATAGACAATCAAGGAGTGTCTTTTCTAAGCCCTCCTCCCCTTGCTTTATCCACACACCTACCTCACCAAAGATGATGAAACCAAGTCCTGGAGGGGTTTCCTTGAATACATAGCCATTTCAATAATATCTCCTTCCATATTGAAAGCAAATATGTATTTTTCTCCCATATAGACATTTCAAAATGCCCAAATATTACAACAGAAACAAAAATAATTGGGAATTCTTATATTATGAATATATCTGTTTCCTATTTCCAAGAAAGAAACATAATGATTACTTTCATGTATTTTTGAAGATATTGCTTTTTTTTTTGTTGGCTGTGGGGCTTGAACTCTGGGCTTGGGCGCTGTCCCTCAGTTCATCAGCTCAAGGCCAGTGCTCTACCACTTGAGCCACAGCGCCACTTCCAGTTTTCTAGTGCTTTATTGGAGATAAGAGTCTTATGGATTTTCCTGCCCGGGCTGGCTTTGAACCACAATCCTCAGATCTCAGCCTCCTGAGTAGCTATGATTACAAGCATGAGCCACCGGCGCCCAGCGCTTTTCTTTTTTTTTTTTTAAACTGTTACTCTGATGCCTTTGAAATGTGAAAATATAAATTAATATAGAATATATATTCCATCCCCCCAGTTTAAAATGGAAAGCCTGAGTTCCAAGGACTGCCTTGAATCTCCTCCTCTTCCCCCATATTTTCCCCTCATTGTTCTGCACGGGAGCAGGATGAAGGGGAGATTGTAGACTCAGATTCTGCCTATAATCCTCCCCCCCCACACACACACACTCAGGCTGACCTCATCCTTTCCCTGAACCACCCCTGTCACATCCTCAGCTTCCTTCCTGTGTTCAGCATCCCTGTCCCCACAGCTGTGAAAAGACGAAACTGATACAACCCTCTATAAAACTCTAAAACCAGACTTTTTGTGTCCACAAGTGAAGTCTTCTCATTAGATGTCAGGTGCTTCTGATGAATATGTTCAGGATCTGTTCAGGATAAGTGATCAAGTTCAGATTCACTGTAAGAGGTGGAACTTCAGCTTGTTATGAGTGACAATGAGCCCCATGTAGGAAAGGTATCACCCTGACACAGTGTTTGTTAAGTATTCGCTTTCTTTTCTCTATTAATCTGACACTTGTGTAATTCTGATCTCATCCTTTTCCCAACCGTCTTGCATCAAACATGACTCCTGTCTTCTCAGGGTAACATGTTAGAAAGTATTTCCACTTGCAATGTCTAAAAAAAACAGATTATTATAATTATTATTTTTCAAAGTGAGGATAAGACTCCTGGAGGCCATGAGGATCAGTCATTACTGTACCTTCCTCTTGCCTGTGTTGTCACTTGTATGTTTTAGTTAGGGATTAGATACATCAGGGTCTGTGAGCCAAGATTGAAACATGTAACCATTGAATTTATGTATGTTTTCTTTCAGATCGATATGACATCAGAAAAAAGTAAGATTTTAAATAAAATTGAGTGTGTTTAAAAGCTGCCTATAATTGTTTTTTTAAAAAAAGCATGAATTAAGACTCAAGCTAGTTGCCATTACTAACCTCTGTAGTAATTATACTTTTATCTTTATTAATCATTAATATATATTTAGAAAAAAAGCAGCTTGGCCAGTTAAATTATAAAAGTATAGATCTAATTTGTGAGCTGATTAGAATTTTAAAATGCAACTGTAATTCATTTAAGCATTCACTTTCTTTTGGCATTTCTGTTAACCCTGGTATTGATGTCCCGCTTGTTTAGAAAGCCACCCTACCGTTTTGTCCATTGTTAGCATAATATTTTCATCTCATTATTTTTTAAGCACTGATGTGACAGTATCACTTTTTATGCTGAGAACCTGTGACTTCTGTCAAGAGGTTTTTTTTGGGTTTGTTTTACCTTGTTTCAGTAGGAGACATTTGTAAAAGCGATACTGTCTTAATATTTAGTAGCTTAGGCTACCTCTTTCCCCACCCTCTCCTTCCCTTACATTCCTTACTGTGGTGAAGTGTAACTGAAGGCTAGCTAGGCTGAGATCTAAGACTGTTGTGAACATTTGTTGGAACAACAACAACAACAAAAAGAACAAGAAGCAGATGGGTACAAATAGCTTACACCTGTAATGTTACCTACCCAGGAGGCTAAAATCTAAGGATCATGGTTCAAAGTCAGCCCTGTCTATGATATTCTTAGGTCTAATTGACCAGCAAAAAAGCTGGTAGTAGAATTGTGGCTCAAGTGGTAGAGCACAAACTTTAACCAAAAAAAGTCAAGGAGCTCAAGGCCTTGAATTCAATCTCCTATACTAGCCTGAAAGAAAGATAGATAGAAAGAAATATGGAAGAAATATGGAATGACAGAAAGGAGAGAAAAAGACAGAAAGGGAGAAAGAGAAAGAAAGGAAGGAAGGAGGGAGGGAAAAAGGGGGGAAAGAGAGAAGGAAGGAAGAGAAAAAGGAAGAAAAGAAATAGAGGAAAGAAAAACAAGAGGTGCCAAGAATACAAAAATTAAGACCTTTGGGATGAAATTGCTACTCACACTGTCTTATTAAAAGGACTAATTTTAAATAATAGTAGTGCAAACAGCCTACCTCAATCTAGTCTAGAGAGCACTCGTTTTTACAGAACTAAGAAAAAACAATGCTAGAATTTACCTCAGGTTTGGAATATTAATTCAGATTTTAATGTGTTGGCCCATTCCCTCTGACTCCTTGGTTTCTTGTAGAAACTCAAGTTGATTTTTTTATGTTTCTCCCTTTTATGCTTCAAATGCATTAGAAAAATAAGCCTAATTTTCAATGCTTATTGATTTTTAAGTATTCATTTCAATTTACTTCATTTCAGCATAATCCTCTTGAAAAGAGAAAACTCAGAACCGTGTTAACTATGGTCATTTGGTCCTTTTTTTTTTTTTAAACTAGGGCTGAGAACCGAACCCACGGCCTTGCGCGCGCCAGGCGGGCGCGCTTCCGCTGGGCTAAACCCCCAGCCCCTCACTTGGTCCTTATACAATGACTCGTAGAGTTTTCTTTTTAAGTCTACACATAATGTGACTTACTACACATTATTGAAATGGCTTTAATGGTGGCTTATGTTTATGTTACATCACTATTCAGAACTAAAGTAAGTATGCTCACTAGTTTATATGGCTGAACAAATTTATATCATATAAATTTAATATATTTACATACTCACATATTAGAGCTCCTTAACAAATGCAAATTATCTTGAGAGAAGATGCTTTTGTTTAAATGACATTATTTTGCCTGCAAATAATTCTTCTTTTTTATTCCTAATTCTAGTTATTTGTTTTTGTGGTGGTCCTGGGGCTTGAACTCAGGACCTCCTACTTGCTCAAGAGGGCACTCTACTGGTACTGCTGAGCCATAGCTCCAGACCTTCCTTTTTGTTTTTGTTTTTTTCTTTCTTTAAACAGATTTTTCCTGTCTCTCATTCTTCAGGACAACTCTGTTTACATTTTTTTCTACTGTGTTTACTTAAATTGGATTCTCTTTTGCTTCTTTGTACAAACTAGTAGGAACTAAAAATCATCTGTCTTTACTATCAAAAGAAATGGAAGAAAAAAGACATTACCAGGTTGCCAGAATGTCATAGATTTCCATGCAAGTCTCCTAGATATGATGACTATTTCACTCTTTTAGAATACAGATTTACTTTTTTTTTTAGTTGAAGGGTAGTCATTGAATGACCTTCAATAGTTATAAAATAATCTCCAAAGAAGGGCTTAGTGGAAGGGATATTTTTCCTAAAGTCCTTTTTTAGGTAAGTCCCTAAAACCTTTTAAAACCTTTTAAAAAATTGAAAAAATAGAATCGATAGAAAAAAGAAAAAGAAAAACAAATATAAACTGGATTCAGAATTTTCTGTCCAAGCTCCCAGGGAACCGAATGTGCTTCACCACAGTAAGGCCTTACCTGTTTGTTCTAGTTCCTCCTCATCCTTCTGCCTGTTCTTTTCTGCAAGACCACACCCCCTAGCACTTTGACCCCACCTTTGCTTTGCATGGAAATAACTTGGCTTACATAAACTGTGCGTGTGTCCCGTGTGACTGTCTTTGATATGGGTTGCCATGCATCCCATTTTTAACTCTGGACTCACCTCTCTGTTGAATCACAAGTGTGGTTTCTGTTGGTTTTCTTTCCTTTCCTATCTTTCCCTCCTTGGTCTGTCTCTTAACATGTCTAAACAAGGCTGCTCCAAGGAAAGGACCTACCATGCCTTTTAGCCCAAGAGTGTGTCATTGTTAGGTGTGAATTTCCCTTAGATGAAATGCCAGTTTGCAGCTGATTCATACATGTGTCATATCATCACTGTACATTGGCAGAACTACTCATTCTAAATTTCAAATTTATTGGGTTGTAACTATCCACACATGATCCTTGTTCTGAGTTTGCTACTACTGGCTTTCTCCTGAGGAAATGAATGTTCTGCAATTTGTAATGCTTTTTATTTTTTCTTATTATTTTTCCCTCATGGTTTTGTTTTTGGTTTTATTTTCCAACATTGATCTGTAACATTGAACAATCTTGAGATACCTCTGTGTAATTTCACTGCGTTCTTTCTCTGTTTTGGTTTGTAATTTTTTTTGTGTGTGTATGTCTTGATTATTTGTGATAGTTTTGTTGTATGTGTGAATGTGCTACAAGTGAGAAAATTAAGCAAGTTATTTCCTGCTCATTTTTCCTTTTCAGTTTTTTTTTCGTTTTTTAATTTTTCTGTTAGCCTTGCTTTGCTCTTGTACCCCGAGACCTTGTGAAACCACCATTCCTAGTCCATTCTGTTGCCCTTCCCACCACAACAGGAAAAGACACTGTGTCCTTTCGATCCTGATTACATTTGCCAATATCTTTTTTGATTTCCATTTTACTTTCGATGTTTTTCATTCACATCAAAGATGATGAGACAGAATCTACAGAAACATCTGTGCTGAAAAGTCACCTGGTTAATGAAGTTCCTGTCCTAGCAAGTCCGGACTTGCTCTCGGAAGTTTCTGAGATGAAACAAGACTTGATCAAAATGACCGCCATCTTGACCACAGATGTGTCTGATAAGGCAGGTTCCCTTAAAGTGAAGGAGCTGGAGAAGGCTGCTGAGGACGAGCCCGGCGAGCCCTTTGAAATTGTGGAAAGAGTGAAAGAGGACTTAGAGAAAGTGAATGAGATCCTGAGAAGTGGAACCTGTGTGAGCGATGAAGGCAGAGGGCAGAGTTCTCAGGCTGAGCCAGAACTAGTGGAAGAGGAATGGGTGCTTGTCAGTGAGGAAGAAATAGAAGAAGCTAAGCTAAAAGCCCCTTTAGAAATCACTGAATATCCATGTGTAGAGGTTAGAATAGGCCAAGAGACCAAAGTCAAGACAGAGAAAGATTCAACTGGGCTAGTGAACTACCTTACTGAGGACCTCAATTCGTATGCACCACCTCATAGGGACAAACCAGTTCAAGACACACCAGGGAAGACTTCTGAGGCTCCAGCCACCGGCAAGGGCTCTGATCATGAAAAGAAGGGTACCCCGTCAGGAGAGAAACAGAGTACCCTTAAACAGGTCAAAGCAAGCCTGGGAATCAAAAAGCCCGTGAGAAGAAAATTAAAAGAAAAGCCCAAACCAAAAGAAGAAAGTTCACAAGCCAGTGAGGAAAAGACTGAGCTTAAAAAGTGTAGCTCCGAGGAGTCAGTGGATGAAGACTCAGGGTTAGCCCCTGAACCTCTCCCCACGGTGAAGGCCACATCTCCTCTGATAGAAGAAACTCCCATTGGCTCCATCAAGGACAAAGTGAAGGCCCTCCAGAAGCGAGTGGAAGATGAACAGAAAGGGCGAAGCAAGTTGCCCATTAGAGTCAAAGGCAAAGAGGAGGTGCCCAAAAAGGCCCCTCTCAGGACACATCCAGCTGCGTCATCCCCCTCTCTGAAGTCAGACAGGCATGCACCATCCTCTAAAGCAGAAAGGCTTTCTTCCCTCTCCTCTGCAAAACCAGAGAGGCACGCTCCAGTGTCGCCATCTGGTAAACCTGAGAAACACTCACCTGTGTCTCCCTCTGCCAAACCGGAAAGACATTCACCTGTGTTGTCAAGTAAACCTGAGAAACACTCACCTGGGTCACCTTCAACAAAAACGGAACGACACTCCCCTGTGTCATCGACAAAAACAGAAAGACACTCGCCGGCATCCCCTTCAGGGAAAACAGACAAACGCCCACCCATATCACCTTCTAGTAGAACAGAGAAACATCCCCCAGTGTCACCTGGGAGAACAGAAAAACGCCTGCCTGTGTCCCCTTCTGGAAGAACGGAAAAGCATTCGCCTGTGTCAACCACTGGGAAAAACGACAGGCACCTTCCTGTGTCACCCTCTGGGAAAACAGACAAGCAGCCTCCTGTATCACCCACCTCAAAAACAGAGAGAATTGAGGAAACCATGTCGGTTCGAGAGTTGATGAAAGCTTTCCAGTCAGGCCAAGACCCATCTAAACATAAAACCGGACTCTTTGAGCACAAATCAGTAAAACAAAAGCAGTCCCAGGAAAAAAGTAAAAGTCGGTTAGAAAAAGAGAAGGGGCAGGCAATTACCCAGAGAGATATACAGAGAACAGAGTCAATCAAACGTGGCCAGAAATTCCTGGTAACTGGTACTCCAGAATCCAGAAGAAGAGCTCACGCGATCGCCATGGGGTTGAAGAGAGATGAAGCTGTTGGAGAAAAGGAGAAAGCTGCCAACCACAAAACTCCCGAACCTGTTCAGCCAGCATCTGAAGAAGAAAGCCATCAAGAGCCTGATAGGTCCAAAGAAAAGAGGGCGGAGGAGCAGGGAGAGATGGAACTTCAGATCAGCCCCAACAGAAAAACCTCCACTGACTTTTCTGAAGTCATTAAGCAAGAGTTAGAAAGCAATGACAAATATCAACAATTCTGCATGAGCCAAGAGACTGAAAAAGCTCAATTGCAATTAGACCAGGTCCTCACCAGCCCTTTTAACACCACCTTCCCACTAGATTACATGAAAGACGACTTTCTCCCTGCTCTTTCTTTACAGAGTGGTACTTTGGATAGCAGTGCTGAGGGCCTAAAGCCGGAAGGGCTAGCACCCTCTCCTTGTGGCAGCCTGATGGAGGGGACCCCTCAGATAAGTTCAGAAGAGAGCTATAAGCATGAGGGTCTAGCAGAGACCCCTGAGACTAGCCCAGAGAGCCTGTCCTTCTCACCAAAGAAAAGTGAGGAACAAATGGAGGAGACAAAGGGAATCACCCCAAAGGTAGAAACACCCCTAGAAATTCCTTCAGAGAAAGAACATCCCACAACCAAAGACAGGATGGATGGTTGTGAAGATCAAGGTGCTGCACTGGCTGAGGGTTCGGAGCTCGCTTCTGAACGTTCTCACAGGGAGGTCTCTCCAGATGCTCCCCAGCCTGTGTCTCCTCAACAAGAAGGACCTGGCAATTCTAGCACATCATTGACAAAAGAATCACCCCGGACAGTCCCTGAGGATGCATCATCCTGTGGGGAAGGTCAGCTCATACCCCAAAGTTCAGCTCAAGAGGCACAGGCTAATCGGGAAGCTCAGGAATCTCCAACCACCTTAGAGGGGATGGAAACTTCACCATTGCCTGGTGCTTCTGTAAAGACAGACACAGACATGGGATCCAAGCCCCAGGGGGTCATTAGAAGTCCTCAGGGATTAGAACTTGCCCTCCCTAGCCGAGACAGTGAGGTACTTAGCCCAATGGCTGACGAGTCCTTAGCAGTCAGCCACAAAGATTCTTTGGAAGCCAGCCCTGTGTTAGAAGATAACTCCTCGCACAAAACTCCCGATTCTCTGGAACCAAGTCCTCTGAAGGAATCTCCTTGCCGGGATTCCTTGGAAAGTAGCCCCGTTGAACCAAAGACCAAGGCAGGGATGCTGTCAAGTCATTTCCCTTATCCCGCAGCTATTTCCAAAACAGAACTCATGACGGAAGTGGTCTCCATGAGGTCCCGGCTCCTCCGAGACCCTGATGGAAGTGCTGAGGATGATAGCCTTGAGCAGACATCCCTCATGGAGAGCTCCGGGAAGAGCCCCCTCTCCCCCGACACCCCCAGCTCGGAAGAAGTTAGCTATGAGGTCACACCCAAAGCCACCGAGGCCACTTCTGCCCCCAAGCCAGCTGTCATTCAGGAGTGCGCCGAGGAGGATGACTCAGAAAATGGAGAGAAAAAGAGGTTCACTCCAGAAGAGGAAATGTTCAAAATGGTCACCAAAATCAAGATGTTCGATGAACTTGAACAGGAAGCTAAGCAGAAAAGGGATTACAGAAAAGAGTCCAAGCAAGAGGAATCTTCCTCAGCCTCCGACCCCGATGGTGACTGTTCAGTAGGCCTGGAGGAACCCAAACAGATGGAGGGTGTAGAGGGTGAAAGAGATGTCCCTGTCCTGGTGACCTCCGAGAGCAGAAAGGCTTCTTCCTCTTCAGAAAGTGAGCCTGAACTGACTCAGCTAAAGAAAGGTGCCGACTCAGGCCTTTTGTCAGAACCAGTAATTCGAGTGCAACCTCCTTCCCCACTTCCATCCAGCATGGACTCCAATTCTAGTCCCGAAGAAGTTCAGTTCCAGCCTATAGTTTCCAAACAATATACCTTCAAGATGAATGAAGAGCTTCCGGAAGAGCCAAGTACCTCAGAAGAAGAGAAAGAGGGTGAGGCTCATTTAGCTGAGGATAGACCCACAGTTTCTCCTGAGGGTGTAGTTAGACCTTGTGAGGATCTGAATGGAGCCACCCATCAGCCAGAGATCTGTGATGGTCATGGGTGTGAGCCCGTGAGTCCTAGCAACTCAGCTGGACCGGTCTGCTTGGGTCACCAGAACTTGTCAGGTGATGATGTCGATGAGCAGCTAGCCTTTCAGAAAGACACCCCAACTCCCCAAGACAGACACGGAAATGACACAGGAGGAGGAGAACATGATGTTTCTGGAATAGAATCTCCACCAGGAGCTTGCCCCAGCGAAAGCTCTTCTTTGCTTCATTGTCCGATATCTGAGGGGGAGAAGTTAGGTGAAGGGACATTCTCTACCTCTTCCACTACAAATGTGGAGGTCACAAAAACGGACCAAAGTGTGGAGAGCATATCAAAAGACTGTTCCATTCAAGACTCTTCTGTCCCTCCCCATGCAGATAGTGTTTCCATAGCTTCTCTAACGGGTGATCCAGCCAAGGCCGATGAAATCCCTGATCCTCAAATTACCAGCCCTTATGAAAATGTTCCTTCCCCCTCTTTTTTCTCTAGTGAAGAAAGCAAAACCCAACCAGATATGAATTACACCACAACCTTTCACTCTTCTGAAGGGTATTCTGCTACCATGACATTCTCTGTTGAGGATGTAGAAGTGAAAAGCTCTTCACCTAGGACTGTTTCGAGCGAACGATGTAATTTCGAGAGCCAGAGCCTCGAAGGAGCATCCGAACAAGAAAGTACCTCATGGGAAGTGCAGTCAGAGAAAGCTTCCTCGTCTCTAGAACCTACTCTATCTAGGACACCAGAAGTCATCGGTGAGCAAATAAGCAAAGTCATTATCACCAAAACAGATGTGGATGCTGATTCCTGGAGCGAGATTCGTGAAGATGACGAAGCCTTTGAAGCGCGAGTGAAAGAAGAGGAGCAAAAGATCTTTGGTTTAATGGTGGACAGACAATCCCAAGGTACTACCCCAGACACCACTCCTGCCCGGACCCCAACAGAAGAGGGGACCCCGACAAGTGAGCAGAATCCATTCCTCTTTCAAGAAGGAAAGTTGTTTGAGATGACCCGAAGCGGGGCCATCGATATGACCAAAAGGTCCTATGCAGATGAGAGTTTTCACTTTTTCCAAATTGGTCAAGAAGCTGGGGAAGAGACTCTTCCAGCAGATATCAAAGAAGGGACCCCTGGGGCTGAGCCCTCACAGCTGGAGATGTCAGCCGAATCACTAGCACTTTCAGAATCAAAAGAAACAGTCGATGATGAAGCCGAATTAGTGCCAGATGACCTGAGTGAGGATGTGGAGGAAATCCCTGATTCAGATAGGCACCTTAGGTCTCATGTGGAGATTTCAGCTTCCCCTGAGGCATCCACAAATTGTGGAGGAGCCGAGGACCTCTCCACCCTGCAGACGGATGATGCACCTTCTTCGTCCAGTATGAAGCCGATACCTTGCCCTGACTCCCTTCAGCCGGCTGTACCAGGTCAGTTAGATTTTTCCACAGTCACCAGGTCTGTATATTCAGAGAGAGACGATGAGTCTCCCGATTCTTCTCCAGAGGAAGAGAAATCAGTGATTGAAATCCCCACCGCCCTCATGGAGAACGTGCCTTCTGCTGAAAGCAAATCCCAAATTCCTACAAGGACTATACTCACCTCAAGCCCAGCACCTCTCCCTGCAGAGGAGAGCGAATTTTCTGAAGATTCTGCACCTGGTCTGAATGAGGGAAGTATGGAAGATGAAGCAAAACCAAAGTCCAAAATCCCTGTCAAAGCATCCATCCAAAGAGGGGAGCAGCAACTCCCACATCCAGATTCATCTTTGCAGATGACAGTCACTGCTCAGGGACGGGACGGGACAAGCAGGACCTCAGATCACAGAAGCAAATCCGAATCCGATGCCTGTCCCTTGGACTCAAAGACCAAATGCCCAGTGAAAGCTAGGAGTTACATTGAGACAGAGGCAGAGAGCAGAGAGAGGTCAGAGGAGCTCGAGTTAGACTCAGAAGAAGGGGCCTCAAGACCAAAGATATTTACATCCCGTTTGCCAGTTAAGAGCAAAAGCAGCACAGCTTCCTGCAAAGGGGGCGTGAGCCCTACAAGAGAAAGTAAGGAGCATTTTTTTGACCTTTACAGGAATTCCATAGAATTCTTTGAGGAGATTAGTGATGAGGCTTCCAAACTAGTGGATAGGCTTACACAGTCAGAGAAGGAGCAGGAATTAGCTTCAGATGACGAAAGTAGTAGTGCCTTGGAAGTTTCAGTTATTGAAAATCTGCCAGCCGTTGAGAGCGAGCATTCAGTTCCTGAGGACATCTTTGACACAAGGCCCATTTGGGATGAGTCCATTGAGACTCTGATTGAACGCATCCCCGATGACAATGGCCATGACCATGCTGAAGGTATTTGCCAGCCATTGGGATTCCCTGTGCTACGCATGTCATAAATTTGATAGAGATTTTTTTTTGTATGTTTGTTTTATTTCGGTGATTTGTGTCTCATTTTCTTTAAGCTTTCTGTAGTGGTTAATGTGTTTGTGTAAGCCCTTTGTGTTTTGTGCCTTTCTGTATACTCTTGTCTATGAAAACAATCTCAAGATTGAGTAATGAGAATGCTTATGGAAAACATAAACCTGACCAGGCAATGGAGACCCTTGCCTTTCTTTAGCTGCTGCACGGAAGGTTCATGCAAGCTTTGAGTTTTGTTGTTCTGAAGTCCCAGGCTTAGCCTCAAATTTAGCATGTTGCTTTGGCACATGATGATGTGAGGTTTGATTTTGCACTCTGAGAACTCATTGCTTGATCTTCTTGCCTCTGGACCCTTGAAATAATCTGTACTAACAATTTTGTAATTATTAGGAAGCCATTTGCTCAAGAAGATTTCTCACGTCCTGAAATTCCAATTGGTGTGGGTCTGGTTTTGATTCAGAAAGGTTGGATTTCAGATACCTTTGGTAATTCTTTAAGCAAACAAATATAAGGTAAACATATGCTTTCTGTTTATACAATAGAGGAATAGAGAGGGTACTCAAATGAAATACAGCAGACAACAAAAACTCAAACTTTGCACCATTTAAGGTGACTATAAGGGAATGACGATCCTTTAAATTGTAAAGGAAAAAAAGAAAGAAAGAATGAAAACCATAGATTACTTTGAGAAGTAACCTGTGGTCTTCCATTATCTCTACAATGAAGACTACTGTTCCTAAAGTTCATAAAACCATCTAAAATGCTGCCCATCAAACCAGAAGAGTTAAAGTTAAATGGGAAAAGTTATATAGCTTGTGAAAATAAATAATGGGTGAGTTGACCGCATCACAAGCAGGCAGAAATGTGACTCAAAAGACATATTCACATCTGTGCCACAATGCACACAATGAGTGTGATTCTATCATTGCATTTTCCTGACGTCATCCCAATGAAGCAAATTTGCTTTTGGCCACATTGGATAAAGCGAACATTATCTGTCCAACCTTAAACAAGATCTCTTGCAAGTTTCGAACAAACTTTGTTTCAGACATAACCCAGTAATGACCTCTACCCTCACATAAGAGGTCTTAACTAATTATTCCAATTCTGCATCCCATTTTCCATTGCTCTAATGTTTCAAGAGCAAAATGACTTTTGGTGGGCAGTATTATCAGATCATTTGAAAAGAAAGTCTTAAATGACTAGAAAGTAAAGCCAGGTACCAGTGGCTCACGCCTGTAATCCTAGCTACTCATGAGGCTGAGATCTGAGTATTGTAGTTCCAGCCTGAGCAAGAAAGCCCATGTGATTCTTATTTCCAATTAACTACCGAAAGGCCAGAAGTAGAGCTGTGGCTCAAGTGAAGACACTGAGTACAAAAGCTCAGGGACAGTACTTAGGCCGAGTTCAAGCTCCAGATTCACACACACACATACACACACACACACACACACACAGAAATGACTAAAAATCAGCTATTTCTATTTGTATGTTCAGTAACTAGTCTTGATTAAAGAGAAATGGAAGCAGATGGTTCCCATAAGCCATATCAGATTCATTCCCCATCCCACCCCCAGAAAGCAGACAAACACACAACGCAACAAGATGAAAAATGCAATAGCACACTTGTGCTATTTTCAAATCTTTGGACAAGTGACTTCCTTTCTTTGGATGATCGATACTGTGGTTCCTCTCCTATCATAGACAACCTTTGGCCATTCTGTTTTTGACCTTCTGTAGATCCACAGGATGAGCAGGAGCGGATTGAGGAGAGGCTGGCTTACATTGCCGATCACCTTGGCTTCAGCTGGACAGGTAAATGAGAATGACTTCCCTTTTTATCAGAAGGCCCTCCATTGACTCTGAAATGTGGAGTAACTTCAGACTTTAGAAGGTTGACAATAAGCCAGCTTTCAACATACTCCGCTAGCAGTTGCAGATATCTAAGTTAGGGGTGAGGGAGGTTATTATGTTTCAGAGTAAAAATTTAGATATGAATTTCTTAAAGCTTGATTTGAGATCTAACCAGGGATGCTTCTTTTAGTGTATCAAGTATCTTCATAGTAAATATTGTCCTGGGGGAATGTCACAATGTATTTGTGTGGGATGTTTCACTAAATTTTGAGATGGAAGTGTTTAAGTATAGTAATTGTATATTAAATGATTTACTTAAGGACAGTACATACACATTGTGGCATCTACATGGATTATTTACAAATCATAATTTGTAAAGAAAAAAACTATTTTCTTTAATCTGCCTATGAGTTAACCAATTAAAGCAACATTGTACAAGGCTTATTCTTTTCTTGATTTTTATTTTAACTCTGGTTTAATTTTCTGGTTTAATATCAATTATGACTACTTTATTGAGTTAAGCAGTACAATTAGTTTTCTTTTTGAGGCATAGGGGTCCATAATATTCTTAGAGATAATGGATTATTTGAAATTTATAACTAGAACTAGTAGGAATAGCCAATTTAATATTAGGATACATTTGAAATATTACTCAAATTTATTTAATTGAGAGATTTAGAATGGTCAAAATATCTCCAGTTGATATACTAGATATGTAAAATAATTCAGAATTATTTCCCTTATACATACATACATATATATATATATATATATATATATATATATACTCATAGACTAAACATGTATATTTGGTTAAAAATTTTAAATCTTTCACCTAAACAGAATGATATAATTTGAAATTAAGTATGTCTCTCACATAAACCAGCTTCTACCCTGCTAGCACCATAACTCAAAAGTACTTGCTCTCGCCTGTAAATGGTTTTAGAAAAAGAAAAGATAGAAATACATTTCTTTCAATTATTTACAAGTAAGTGAAATTGTACTTAATAATATTTATTGTAATTTTTCTGTTCAGATAACCCTCTCGCAAGTCACTTTCAAGTGACTACTGAGTTATACTTTTCAGAGATTCCATAATTTATCAGCGGTCTTGGTTGGGAGATTTAAAGTTGGCTCCAGTTAATAATCTTGGTAATAAGTTAACAATCTTGGTACATTCTACTTAGGAGTAGAATTGCTAGATCAAGAATATTTTTAACTTGGGGAGATGGCATCAAATTGATAACAAAATCACCTTCTTTACATATATAGACATACATATACAGGGAGCTTACCATAATATATTAGCATCCTTAGAGAATTTTAAAGTTTTAACTCAAAGGAAAGCATTGTGGCTTCATAGATTTTAAAACATGTGACATAAAATCAAGAAGTAAGTTAATCCATTTCTAAAATAAGGATATAGGCAGTACTTATCCAAGTACCCAGAAATAGAATTTATAGTTCTTAACATCATTTAAAGCTGGGTGCCATTGACTCTTGGCTATAATCCTAGGTACTCAAGAGGCTGAGATCTGAACAGCACAGTTTGAAGCCAGCCGTGGCAGGAAAGTCCATGAGACCCTTATATCCAATTAACCACCAGAAAATCAGACGTGAAGCTGTGGCTCAAATGATAGAAGGCTAGCCTTGAGCCAAAAAGTTCAGGGACAGCGCTCGGTCCTGAGTTCTAGCCCTAGGGAAGGGGGTGGGGGAGCCATCACTTAAGTAGGAAATGATACTATACGCTAGTAATGCCAGCACTCAGGAAAGACTGGGGCAGGAGAATTATGAGTGTAAAGCCAACCTAGGCTACAGAGCAAGACAACAACAATAAAACAACCATTTTTAAACCCTTCTATACAAATGGTAATATATTTCTCCTATTTTGTAATTTATTGTCCATTATCTTGGCTAAAAGTATAAACATATTAATGATCATGTCTGTGTTTTGGAATCAACTGGTTTCAACTATTTGTAGTTTGTCAGTACTACTTCAATCACTACCATTTCCATGATGGTAGAGGTAAGATCTATACTCATGATTAGTATTTTAAGAAATCAAATACACACACACACACATAAACACAAACCACTTCTAATGTATAGAAATAAAAGAAAGCCAAAGGCTCATGGCAGTGCAAGAAAATTTCATTATCATATCACAAACCAGGGTATACAGGCAGAGGCCTGCAAATCAATGTGTTTACAAAGTAGTTATCTTCTCTTCTAGAATTAGCAAGGGAACTGGATTTCACTGAGGAGCAAATTCATCAAATTCGAATTGAGAACCCCAACTCCCTTCAAGACCAGAGCCACGCACTACTGAAGTACTGGCTGGAAAGGGATGGGAAGCATGCTACAGGTATGTGCAGAACTCCAAGTAAAAGGTACAAAGTGGAATTTTCTTGCTCAATTCAAATCACCTAATTTCCTCCCTCCCTCCCTCCATCTTTCCTTCCCTCCCTCCCTTCCTTCCCTCTCTCCCTTCCTTCCTTCCTTTCTTTTGTGGATGGAGATATATATATATATATATATATATATATATATATGCCAGTACTGAACTCAGGACTGCTGTGTTGTCCCTAGCTTTTTTGCTCAGTGCTAGCATCTTTTCACTTGAGCTACAGTGCCACTACTGGCCTTTTGGTGGTTATTTGGAGATGAGAATTTCATAGGTTTACCTACTCAATCCTTAGACCTCAGTCTCCTGAGTAGCTAGTATTCTAGGTGGGAGCCATCAGCACTGAGCTTGGAACCACCCCACTTTTTCATACATCCAGGAAGATAGTAACATAAAATGCTCTTATTTTCAAGAAGTGTTGGCAAATGAAGATAAGCTATTGTCATTTCTAAAACAGACAGGAGGCACGAAGAAAATCTTGTAGTCCATGCCTGGAAACAGTGTTAACTAATAAGAAATGATATTGATACTGGCTGGCAACAGGCATGTTATTCAAGCTCCAGATTTTCTGAATATCCATGATGGACACAATTTCTTTGCTTGCAATGGTTTTATGGGTGATGAATTACTTTCAGTTTTGACTTCCTTTGCTCCCCGCAAACAAACTTAGGTGAGAGGAAAAGTATCAAGTGATGTGTCTATGAGATGATGCATTATAGTCAGACTTACCTGGTCGAATAACATGGGAAATGATAAGCTGTAGCTTATCATCAAACACAGACCTTCTCAGCAGGCCATGTTTTCCACTTCCCCCAGTGTCTCCATGATGATATGCTGCATCATTCCTTGCTCTAATACTTCTTAGTATCATTGCCAGTTGAATTTAAATTCTAGGTAGTCAACAAGCACTTTTTTCTTTAGCATTCTTGCAATATTTGGAATAGACTTTTCCTAAATATATATTTTGTTAACTGAAATTTGGATCTTCTTGGGAGTCATATATGTTATCTGGAACTCCAACTTTTTGGACTTGTGTCAATTCCATATCACAACTGTGGTTTATCTCTCTGCTTCTTTTCACGGAGTCCCTAATTAAGTTTATAGCTGTTATCTATACAACGTGCCAAAAGATTTAGTAAGGCAACTTAATGAAAGAAAAAAATGTTCAAAGAGCACCTCTCAAATGTAACAAGTGTAATGAATGCTAATGTATTCTACACTTTCTTAGATACCAGCCTCATTGAATGCCTCACCAAGATCAACCGGATGGATATTGTTCATCTCATGGAGACCAGCACAGAAACGCTGCAGGAGCGCATCAGTCACAGCTATGCAGAAATTGAACAGACCATTACACTGGATCATAGTGAAGGTCAAACAAGTATTGTGTGTGTGTGTGTGTGTGTGTGTGTGTTCAGGTGCTGGACCTATTGTTTCTCTCATTTTACAAGAAAGACCTTTAGTGATGGCACATTCATTTCCTTGCTACCTTGATTTCCTTGCCTTTTTCTACAACTTGCCCAAATATGTATTCTCTGTTACTCTACCACATTAATACATCTGACCTAATTCCTTTTTCTCAGTTTCTGAGGATGTCTGATAATTATCTCGTAACTCAGCCACAGAATTTTATGCCCACAACCAACACTACGCCATTACTAATTACTTACTACTGAGCAACACATACTCAAAAAACAGTACTCTTATTCTTTCTTTTTTTTTCTTTTTTTTGGGGGGAGGGTCTGGTCCTGGGGCCTGAACTCTGGGCCTGGGCACTGTCTCTCAGCTCTTCAGCTCAAGGTTAGCACTCTACCACTTGAGCCACAGCGCCACTTCCGGCTTTTTTCTTTTTGCTTATGTGGTGCTGAGGAATCGAATCCAGGGCCTCAGGCATGCAAGGCAAGTGCTCTACCACGGAGCCACCTTCCCAGCCCCTCTTATTTTTTCTTTTCCTTCCAACCAAAAATTCTCAAGATCCACTGTGATATCCAGCCATTGTGTATGTGTGTGTGTCACAAGTAGGCCTTGAATTCAGTGTCAAGGCACTCTCCCTTATTTTTTTTACGCTAAAGGTTAGCTGCTCTACTCCTTGAGCCACTGCTTCTTCCAGCTCGTTGGCTAACTGGAGATAAGAGTCTCACAGACTTTTCTTCTGGGACTGGTTTTGAACCACAATCCTCAGATCTTAGCCTCTGAATTACTAGCACCTAGCCTTACCACCTTTTTAATATTGTACTTACTCTAATTTATTGTCATTCATTTATAAACCCCAAGCACCCCCACCTCTGTTTTACACCTTCCTTTCTTCCTTCAAACTACCAATATTTCTCTTTATCTATGCCTATTTGATGATCATTTTTCATATCTTCTAACAGAATTACAAACAAATGTCCATAACCTTCCACTACAAAAATCTACCAAGATGAATAAATCTCTATGCATAAAATCTACCTCGTAATATAGTAGATTACATTGCTTTTTTTTTCTTTTTTTTTTTTCTGGTGGTATTGGGTTTGAACTCAGGGCCTTGGAATTGCTAGACAAGTTGCTCTACCACTTGAGCCACAAGCCCACCTTAGATTACATTGCTTGCCTAGCTAAAGCCATCACCACTTCCTTGGGGCTGAATTGTATTCCCTTTTCTCCACTCAGAGGCTTCACTCCTGAAGTGTCCATTCTGACTTCCCACAATTAGGCCAGACCCAGTAGCATTGAGATATACTTTAACAGATCTCACCTTTTAAAACAAAACAAGACAGCTCTTTTTAACCGCAACATATACCATATATTTCTCCCCTCATCTTGTGAGAACTTTCCCTACTCCAGCCCGTCTTGTAAACTCTGGTAATTATTTCCTTGTTGACAAATCCATGGATAAATTTCAGTGTTCAAATTACTCCGCTCCTTACCAGCATTTGGCATAAACGTTTAATCCTTTCTTAAATATTTTCTTCACTTACTTTCTAGGATAACTTCTCTTTCCATACGTTTTTCTGCCTTTCTGCTCTCCTCCTCGAAGCCATTTGTGGTAGCTTATTTCATCTCGTAATTTAAGTGATGGCATGCATTAGTAAGTAGCAAGACACCTCCCACCTCTTGCTCTCTCTCCCTGTCCCAGAAGTTTGATCTCCTTGCTACTCATCTATTCTTCTGCTTCAAATTCCTGGTGCTTTTGCTCTTTTCCACCCTAGAGTGTTTTCTAATCTGATCAATAGAGCTGTTCACTCTATTTCTTTTGATTATTGCTCAGCTATCACCTCCTTCCTATTCGGTCTAGCTTCCATCTAAAGCTTAATTTAATCTGTTCTGCTCCCTAGGATTCTCAGTACTTCCAGAGGAGCTCTGCACTGCCCGGCACAAACAGAAAGAAGAACAAGCTGTGTCTAAAGAAAATGAGTCTGACGATCACCCACCTATTGTCTCTGAGGAAGACATCTCTGGAGGTTATTCCACTTTCCAGGATTGTACCCCCAAAGCTGAGGTGGACCCCTCAGAACCAGTGCTGTCTCCACAAGTGCACAAGGAACAAGTTCAACAAGATTTCTCAGGGAAAATGCAAGACCTGCCTGAAGATCGGCAGGAATACTTGTAAGTTTCAAAAGAAAGTCTGCTCAATGTGGGTCCAAAGAACAAAAGTAAACATGACAAAGGTGCCAGGCAGATACAGACATAAATAGTTGCAAATAATTCAAAAAGCATCTACCTATAATCAATCCCAGAGCTGCTAAAAATAAAAACCTGAAACACTGAGGACATATCATTGTGTTGCGTATTAGAGATGATGGAGAACTACTTGGATTCACTTCTAGATCTGTGATTTTTTTCACAGTCCCAAGTGCCTTGAGTTTTTACTTATATATCTATAAACTATGATAATGACATGCATACTCCATTCTTCATTTCTGTAACTTCGTTGTTTGCCATGTAAAAACATCATCTAGCTGGGCGCTGGTGGCTCATGCCTGTAAACCTAGCTACTCAGGAGGCTGAGATCTAAGGATCATGGTTCAAAGCTAGCCCCAGCAGAAAAGTCCATCAGACTCTTATCTCCAATAAACTACCAGAAAACCAGAAGTGGCCCAGTAGCTTAAGTGGTGGAGCACTTGCCTTGAGCTGAAGAGCTGAGGGAAAGCACCCAGGCCCACAGTTCAAGCCCCACGACCGACCAAAAAAAAAGTATCATCTAGACAACACAGCTGTTACTTATAGCATTGCAGTACCTTCTTTACTCTCAATACAGTTGTTATTTACAATGATTGCTACATTGGTAATGCTTCCAAAATGGTAGCATGGTCCATTGGACCATGACTGGTTTAGGTGATGAAGAGAGGCACTGTACATTTGACAACCCACAAAGTATTTCAGCAAATGTACAAGGTAACTAAATATAGAAACAGAAATACAACACAAATTATTTGCCCAACATTAAACACCACTAAAATGAGGTAGAATAAGGTTAGAGTAAATAATAAATTGTAAAGAGGAATTTTTGAGATATTGTCTGGCTAAAGGAAGTTACAGAGCAATGTAGTTCAGAACTCAAACTCTGGATTTTATAGATACAAAAGAAAGAGTAATTCATTGAGAATGGTTCTCCAGGCAGAGAAAACACATCAGAGAGGCAAGTACACTATCATGAGATGGCATCATAGTCCTTCCTTTGTCATGAACGGAGTATTGTTTTCTGGTCACCGAATCATGGGTAGAGGGGCAAAGAAATGAGCTCAAAGAAATGACACATCATCAAGCTTTTTTCCCTCAAGTCCTTCCTCTCATCTACCTGCAGAAGCAGGGGAAAGCTGAATGGTTGGGCAAGAAAGAGAGAAGGACAAAGGAAAAAACAGGAGGAAGAGGAAGGAACACCAAAAAGCCTTTTATTATTGAATGTCAATAGCATGATAGAAAATTACACTAACTATAAAAAAGTAAAAGGAGCAAAAATATTTCTAGTTTAAAATTTGAGAATATGAATTGGTAACCAGTGGCTTGTGCATAGAATCCTAGCTACTCAGGAGGTTGAGATCTGTGGATTGTGGTTCCAAGCCAGCCTGGGCAGAAACATCAGTAAGACTCTTAGCTCCAGTTAAGCTGCCAAAAAAAGGCCATAAGTGAAGATGTGCATTAAGTGTTATAGCACCAGTCTTAGGTAGAAAAGGTAAGGGAGGGCATCAGGCCTTGAGTTCAAGCCCAAGTCTGGCACAAAAGTAAAATAAAATCCAAAAGGAAAAAATAGAAAGATGAATTTATAGCTTACGTACTTGATAAAGGTTACAAAACAATAATGCATTTCAGCATAATTTATATCTAAGAATATAGGATTTCATCATACCAGTAAATGAAGCTGTAACTGTACTCTATCTTACAGTATTACCTTTCTTCAGATTTCTTTCTTGACCAAACTTACATAACCAGTCTTAGCTATCATGGACTGTGAAGACCAGTTTCATCTTCCCTTCTAAGTTCCTTGCTTGGGTAAGAAAAGTACAAATGCTGCTGGGGTATAATTTGGCTTTTCCCTTCCAGTGTAACTACTCCAGGAACAGAAGGGCCAAAGACTCAAAAGGCCACAGCAGTACCTGCCTCTCCCAGCAAGACTCCTGAAGAGATCAGGAGTACCCCACATGAGGAGGAGAGAATGTACCTCCACACACCAACATCCAGTGAGCCGAGCTGCTCTCCCATTGTGCAAGAACCGGAAGAATTCCCTAAGCCCAAGGAAGAGAGTTCTCCGCCAAAAACCAGCCTGGTGATAGAAGAGTCAGCTGAGGTCCACCCACAGGCCTTGGCAAGGCAGGATACAGATGCAGCTTTTGAAAAGGTAAGATGCTCTTGTTTGCTGGCCCACCTCTAACAAAGTATACATACTTTCTAGTTTCTGTTTCTCTGATGATTTTTTTTTAGAATTCAAACAAAACAAAATAAATGTTAAATTAATTTCTATTAACCTAGGTCATGGGAAAACCTTCATCCTTTTCTAAACCAGGAAGCTGTGGGATCATAAACTCTAGCTGATCATTGGAAACACTTTTGCTAGTCAGAATGAACACTGTAGCTTGGCACTGGTGGCTCCTACCTGTAATCCTGGTTACTCAGTAGGCTGAGATCTGAAGATCACGATTTGAAGCAAGCCCAGGCAGATTCCTATGAGATCTCCAGTCCCTGTGAGATTCCTATCCCCAATTAACCACTCCAAAACCAGTAGTGGAGCTATGGTTCAAAGTGGTAGAGTATTAGCTAGCCTTGAGCAAAAAGAACACAGGCACAGCACCCAGATCCTTTTTTCAAACTCCACAATCATCACCACCAACAACAAAGTGAAGACTGAGGTGAAAGAATAGTCAGAGATTTGTGAGAGTCTTAGGTAGATCTTCTGGGACAGACATGCTGTTGCCATCAGTCCTGAGATCTGTTTGTACCATCTGGTGACAAATCTACTCAAAGTGGGACTGTTCAATGCCTTAGACAAACTTTCCTCAATTGAGGAAGGATCATTTCCAAGTTAGATTTCCTTAGGTTTATTTTAGAAATAGCCTAGGAAGAGAAGATGATATGTAGATCCTCTTAGGAGAGACAGTCAACTCATTTATTCACAAAATGTGGTCTCTGTGGGTTCCGTATCTGGAGATTAGTTGATATACCTCAGTTCCTTAGAAGAGTTCCTTAGAACAGAATTGGAGTCTTTTGAGGGAAAAGTAGCATACAATTAAAAAACACTGGTTTTTATTCACAAGGAGGGTAATATTATCTGATTCCAGGATTTATTAGAAGCAAGCTGAAATGAAGAAAGCTTCAGGCACAGGAGAAGTCTGTGTGTGTGCGTGTGTGTGTGTGTGTGTGTGTGTGTGTGTGTGTGTGTGTGTGTGCATGTGTGTGTGTACATGCACGTGTCCTGATTTTGGCAGCAAAGGTAAAAAATGAAATCACCACATGAATTGCTTTCTAACCTGTATTTGTTTCTGTACAGAATTATTCATCTCAAATTCTTGGCTCCTGTGAATTTTAGTAAAATGTCTCCTTCATGTTTCGGGGTTAAAAGTCATCAATCTTGGCCTGAGAACCAAGTTATTGGCCAAGTGATGTGTAGACTTCAAAAAATTATTGGTGAATCTTTTATTCAATGTATTCTATGCATATACGGGTTGATAAGTCCTTCTGCATTCTACATGCCTTATCCAGGCCTGTCCCATGCATTCTTTATGGGTTTCCACTTATATCTGATCACTTTATGTGTTGACCCTTAACTTCTCATGTTCATAATATGAAAACTGAACTTCCAATTTTAGTTACTAATCTTGTTGGCCGTATTAAAATACAATTTTGTTTAGAATTTGTATGTTTTTCTTCAGCAGAGAATTCTAACTAGGATTTTTGTACCAGTCCTGGGCTTGAATTCAGGGCCTGAGTGCCATCTCTGAGCTTTCTTGCTCAAGGCTAGCACTCTACCATTTGAGCCACAACTCTACTTCCAGCTTCTTGGTATTTAATTGGAGGTAAGAGTCTCACAAACTTTCCTGCCCGGGCTGGCTTAGAATCATGATCCTCAGATCTCAGTTTCCTAAATAGTTAAGATTACAGGTATGAACCATTGGTGCTCAACTTCTAGCTAGTATATTTTTAGATATGTTAAGCAAATTGAGATTTTTTTCCTTTTAAAAATTAAAAATCCAAGATAGATATGGTGGCACATGCCTGTAGTCCCAGAGCTCTCAAGAGGTTGAGGCAGTAAGATTGAGAGTTAGAGCCAGCGTTAGCTACATAGTAAACTGTCAGACAGGTGAGTGAGAAAAATGACAAGAAGGGAGAAGAAAAGGGAAGAAAGGGTAGAAAAGGAAGGAAACAAATGCTATTCCTCAGGAAAGAGTGATTTGTAAGACATAGCTTTAATCTTAAATTATGTTCTTAGTCTCATCTTTGACTTTAGGTCAAACCCATTCAGTCTGATTTGTAACTTCTCCTCCAAACAAACCTAATATTATTCATATCCTGACCTTGTCGATGCCAGGGAAATGTGCTAACAACTAGATAGTAGCTATGGGAAATGATGACTTCCTGTGGAAAGTTCTAGGGCAAGCATGAGCCATGCCTACAGGTGTGAGTTAATAATTTCAAGTCTAAACAAGAACCTTATGGCTTACAACGCTGCACTATACTGCCCAGAAGGTTTGGAAACATTTCTTTCAGCTATTCATTAGGAGTTTTCCATAGTATAAGTTAGTTGGGAAAGATATTTCTTTAGACAGATTTTGACAGATGATTTCTCTGACAATTCTCAGAATCATGGGTATTTTTCCCCATTCCATGAACTAAAAAACTACATATACTTGTTGATGCTTGAGACCATACCACACATCTGATTTTACCACCAAAAGCTCCATGAATAAAACTTTCAGAACACAGTGTAAGTTAAAGCAGAATGCAGTAGAGAAGTCATTTCTTAGCATGTGAAATACAACGAGACAGCTGGGCACAGTGGTGCATTCCTGTAACTCTATATCCGGGAGGCTGTGGTAGGAAGATCATGAGTTCAATGTAAACTACATAGAAAAAAGTTAACTTCAAAACGTAAAACAACTGGGTGCTTCCATGCTTCCACCAGGAGATAATGGAGGAATTAGGGGAGCTGGAGGTCAGCTCTGATGAGGAGGCAATGGTAACTACCAGGGTTGTCCGCCGAAGAGTTATTATTCAGGTACCAGCTATTGACCATGCTGCACGTCTGGGGCAGTTCTGTCCATGTACCCTTACAGAGTGCTGGAGCAATAGAAGCTTGGCATGTTCCTTCAGTAATGCATGACCACTGGAAAGCAGCCCTTCACTTTCCCCTTTTTGTTGATAAAGAAATGCAATGCTGCCACATCTGCAGCCCACCTCCAAGAGAGCAGACAGCAGGAAGATTCCATTCTTCAGTTCTTGCTAATCTATTTATCTTGTGTTATTTGTTCCTTTGTTTACCTAACTTTGATTGCAACCTCCTATGCATGTTATTACTCACCTGCTTCTTCTTCTTCTTCTTCTTTTTGTTAAATAATCAGATAGGAATTTTGCATCTCAGGAATGCTTTTCAGCCTCGCCTTTGGTTTTCTAACATTCCTCCCATTATAAGCACTTGGACAGGGGTTCCTCAGGAACAGTGCAAAGAGTAAAGTAAACCTCTTGTTTCAACTACTTAGGGTGATGATATGCCTGACATACCCCCAGAAACCGTCACAGAAGAAGAATATATTGACGAACATGGACACACCGTCGTGAAGAAGGTACTGGCTTGTGTTTTCTTACATGGCTAATTTCACACTTTCTGTTTAATATTTTTTTAATCACTCCAGTGGTGCAACCCAGAAACAAGACACATCCATGAACTGTATTTCAGGTTACTAGGAAAATCATTAGACGGTATGTAGCCTCTGATGGTACAGAGAAAGAAGAGATTACCATGCAAGGGATGCCCCAGGAACCTATCAGCATCGAGGATGGGGATGGCTATTCCAAAGTTATAAAACGTGTGGTGCTGAAGAGTGACACTGAACAGTCAGAGGTGAGGTCAACCAGTTGTCCAAGTCCTATTGCCTAGAGAACAAATTGGAGTTCAAGGGAGATGAAGGAGATTCTATGTTCCTGTTGGTCTTTCTATGAAAATCTACTGTCTTTACATATTCCATTTTTTCCTGTTTCATGACTTTGTATAATTTTCAAATAACCCCTTAGGAGCTTTGTTACCATTATTCTCATTGTCCTTGTTTTGTCATTTTTATTTCTATTTAATTCATAGTTAACGATGGCAGAAATCCCAAAGTCAAAGAATGAAATTCTGCTATGCTCATCCCTGTACTCCTAGCTATTCAGGTGGTTGAAATCTGAGGATTGCAGTTTGAAGTCATCAGGAAAGGCTATGAGACTCTTATCTCCAATTAACCACAGACAAAGCTGGAAGTGGTGCTGTGGCCTCGATCATAAAAAGCTCAGGGGGGCTGAGAAGGTGGCTCAGTGGTAGAGTGCTTGCCTTGCATGCATGAGTACCTGGGTTCAATTCCTCAGCACCACATAAGCAGAAAAGGCTGGAAGTGGCACTATGGCTGAAATGGTAGAGCACTAGCCTTGAGCTCAAGAGCTGAGGAACAGTGCCCAGGCCCAGAATTCAGGCCACATGACTGACCAAAAAAAAAAAAAAAAAAAAAGCTCAGGGACAGTGCTCAGGCCCTAAGTTCAACAATAACCACAAAACAAAGACCAACAAAAAAAAATCAACAACAAAATAGAAAATGAAATTCTATTTTCTGGCAAGTAAGCAATGAAGATATGAAGTCTTGAGCTGCTTTGGTCTGATTGTCACCCCTGCCTTCCAAAGGCCACTCTAGATTAATGTGTGATATTCACACCCTGAGCCCAGTGCCAGTGGCTCACACCTGTAATCCTAGCTACTCAGGAGGCTAAGAACTAAGGATGACAGTTCCAGATAGGAAAATCTATAGACTCTTATCTCCACTTAACCAGCAAAAAAACAAGAATGGAGCTTACTCAAGTGGTAGAATGTCAGCCTTGAGTAGAAAAAGCTGAAGGAAAGCATGAGGCCCTGTGTTCAAGCCTCAGTACAAAACAAAAACAAACAAACAACAACAACAAAATAAAATGGACCCATGCATTTCTATCCAATTGGCTGATTAACTGGTTGAGTAGGTCCAATGGAAACAGTCATTAAACACATATCCCCAGCCAATTATGATTCTTATTTCCAAAATAATGTTTGCTAGAAGTCCAGCAGATTATATTCCAGTTATCATGTGTTTGTTTTCCTTCAACATTATTAGTTTCATTATTTGTCATATTGTGTTCATCAGAAATTGTGTATTGTGTGTCCATCAGGTAACTTTATCTGAACCCAGCCTTTTGTCCAGCACCTCACAATTTCAGGCTGAACCAGTAGAAGGCCGTAGAGTCAGCAAAGTTGTTAAGACAACTATGGTACGTGGAGAGAGGATGGAAAAGCATCTGGGGGATTCTAGGCTAGCCACTGATCTTCCTTCAGCCAAAGATGACTTTGAAGAGGTATAGAAGCATTCCACCTTGTTTTATTTGCTTTGTACATGTGTTTTATGTTTGCATTGCGTTTAAAGTGGACATCATCATTGTATCATCTCATACATGACTTCATAGATGGCTCTAGACCAATTCAAGAGACTTTATTTCCTGTTTGAATAATGCATATGGAGAAGGAATGTTTGCTCAACCTGTAGCCTTCATCCTAGCCAACCTATGAGCTTTGAAAAATCCAAAACTATTCAGATTCACTTGGACTAAGCCAAAATCAGAATGTCAGAAGTGTATCTTACGTAAGAACAACAGCAATGTCCTATTATCCCAGTTTATAAGGAAAAGAAGCAAAGGTACTACAAATTATCTTGGCTTGCTAATATTCTCAATATTAACAATGATAGGCACTAAAGAAATTTAGATAAAATTCTTTATATCTGTTCATGAAAAAGAATAACCATTGCTGGTTCTCAGCAATTAGAAAATGGGTTTTCAGTGGTAAATCTATAGACTCTTATTCTGAGTTCCAAGTTTGAATATTCCAAAGATCAAAATGAATTTTCTAAGTTAAGCGCAAACTAGTAAGACTTGGTATGACCTCCTGGATAAGCCTCACCTAACACCTGACATGATCTAGCATAAAACTATATGGAGCCTTTTTATAGTACATCAAGTGAAGATTTATAGATTTTGTGTGAATATAAATGGAGTTTGATTACAGGATGTTGTATCTTTCTGGTATATTTGTAATGCACAATGGATTCATCATGATATCTATTAGCAATCTAAATTCTGAAATACATATGGTCCCAAAACATATGCAAATAATTACAAAAGGTATTTTTGTTATTGAACCATTTTGAAGTTACATGCAGAGATGTATTCTCTTCTAGTCCCAGACCAGGGCTGCATCTGTATCTCTATGCTTGTTAAGCATTAACAAGGCCCTGGCTTTGTTTCCCAGGAGTGCTTAAAATTATCTATGTCTGCAAAACATATTTAAAATGTATGTAAATGTATTTGGATATTACAGGCAAATCATCGCTAGATATTTCCAGGTCTTCACATTTGACAACTGGTAATCTTGAATGTTCAGTGGCTAAGTTTTCTGAGTTTTTACACACTGGTCTTCGTTCTATGTTTTTGCCTGTGGTAATTGTATTTATTATTCAGCTCTGCCCAGGAGGAAGAAAGGAGTCAGGCAAGAAAGAAATTCAGTCAGGCATTATGGATGTTAGTTAGCGGATTTTTGTAATGTAATATAAAAAATTCCTTCATAGAATGGGAAGAATTTTCAAGGACTTGTTAAATAAAACTCAATTCACAGATCAACTCCTGGGAACTACTTTTATACCTATTCAGATATCTTCTTTCATACTGACTGTGGATTTGTAAAGCAGCAGATAGATTGAAAATTGGTTTATGATAAGTGATAGCTTGTTTTCCTTCTTTCCCACCCCAGGCTTTGAGTTACACAGGTAGCCACCTGAAGGTTCACTTTCCCAGTTTAGTAGAGAATGAGATCCTAAAAGAGGATGGATCAATAATTAAAAGGTTTGGGTTAGCATGGTGTGATGCTTTGCCAACTAACACTATGAAACACATTTCCAGTTTTAAGAAAGGAAGGATAGAACCATGGCAAATCCCCTGGAAAACCTCAGGAACTGCTAACTCTTCTATATTTTAGGTCTTTGCTCAGATATGTTGTTGTACTGCACCTAGAACATCTCCTCATACTGTATTGTTTAAAATTTTACTTTATTGTAAAGATGCTGTACACGAGTCAAGCATGCTGTACATGAGTCAGGAAATGAGTACATTTCTTGTCGAGCATTGTTACCCCTCCCTTGTTGTTCTCCCACTATCCCTTCCTTCCCCCACCTCCTACACCCCTCCTCTCCCCCCTGAATTTAACTCAGAGGTACAGTGATTGTGAGGCATAACTTTACACAACCAGACTCCCTGGGGCTTATTTACCTCTCTATAGTGTCACTAATGTAGTTGAAGTGAAGGCACTGGTGACTCACCTTGTGCTGATAGAGTTAAAGAGCACAAGGAGAGATGCTTTATCTAATCTATTGCTCACAACTCAATTTGGGGACAAGCTACATTCAGCTCAGTCACAGCCAATCATTACTTATGGGTACACCATGCTTTTAAGTTTTAACATGATGTTTCATGACTCTGCATGCAAGTGACAAGTAAATGTAAGCATGACTTGGATTCCCAGAAATGGGAGTATATCTAGTGATGCTGAACTGGGGGATTTAGGAAGCAAAAAAGTGTGGGAGGTGGTACTACATGGTACTTTCTCTGCAGATAGAAGGGTACTGGCTGGGTGGCATTGGGAAAGAAGGAGGAGCATGATGGAAGGGGTGGCATGGATCAAGATGCATTGTATTTACAAACTGATTGGTTGACTAGAAATCCCTTTGTACAAGTACCTTCAAATAAGGTAAAAAGAAAACCAAGAAGACCACTAGCAGTGCGATGCAGTGAACTGCCATGGATTTGATACATGAGCTTGAGCACCCTTCAGGTGGTCCTGTAGCTGCACTATGAGTGCTATCAGGATTAACAGAATGTTCTCAGCTTCCTTCGGGTGGGGGGTGGAGGGTGGGGTGGAGACACAATGGGAATCCAAGTTACTATTGTGCCTTTCATTTCATTGAAAAGAAAAGATGATCATGTATAGTACTCTACCAGCTATTTTAAGCTCTCAGAACATAATAATTAGAACAGCAAAATTAAAGGTTCTGTCACCATCCCACCCTCCAATCAAATGTGAAAAGCAATAGCAGCTAGGAATTTGAAAGGGTGCAATTGTTCTCTTAGAACCTTAAAACGCTCATGAATTAAGGAGAAAAATGCTTCATCTCACGTTGAAGTCTTTTATTCAGTTGTTCTGATGAAATTATGCAACCCCCGTGTGCCTTCGAGTCAGAGGATCTGTGAGGTGCTCCATTGTAGCAGTTGATTTTGAAGCTATGGATTTAGTCTATTTGATTCCCACAGTTAGTCACTCAACCTACTGAAGGTGTTTTGACCATATGCATATATCATATTCATGAGTATGCTCATCTGCATACACTTGCAGAAAATGTAGGAAAATATCCAGAGATTGAGGTCAAGCTTGTGACACTAACGCAGTAAAGCCTACTTTCTGTCAGATCTTTAGCCTTTTTTGTGGGGGGGGGGGGAGGAAATAAAGTTAAACTATTCAATAGTTAGAAAAACATAATCTGACTTCAACCATTGCAGTCAAGTTTAACTTTTTCTTAATCGAGAAGAACAAAATTAAGTTTATCTTCAAATACAAAATAATCCATGCAGTATCAGAGGGGAGAGTAAGAGAATGTGAGAGTAAAGAGGGGGGGGAGGGATGTTCAAAAGAAAGTTGAAAGTATTTTGTCTGAAGTAAGTCATTTTCATAACTCGGGATGAGCTTAATGCATGTGTAGAGGTATTGGGTGGTACGCAGAGCTTCTCACCTCTGAACACTTGGAATCCATAGAGATAATGCTGGCTCAAAGAGCCAATACTGGTCCTTCCCTTTACTGGTTTAAGTGTAGATGTAGAGTTTTGTCATTGAGGATTCAGGCTCTGGGACACTGGACTTTTGGAATCAGGACATGCAAATATTTCAAATGGGAGATGTTGCTTTAATTCTCAAAGATCGAGTTTCTGTGTTTGTTATAATGATATAGATAACATTCATCCAATACTTCCAAGTAGGCAGTAAGGAGAACAGAGAATGAAATTATTGCATCATGATGCAATAATTGTATGAAATGTAATGATGAGTGATAGCCTCTTACATATATTTTTGTTGTTGTTGAGCCAGCACTGGGGCTTAAATTCAGTGTCTGAGTACTGTCCTTTAGCTTTTTCACTCAGGAGTAGCACTTTACCCATTTGAGCCATGTTTCCACTTGTGTCTTTTTTGGTTAATTGAAGATGAGTCTTACAAACTGTGATCCTCAGATCTCAAGTCCCCTGATCAGCTGGATTATAGTTGTGAGCCACTGGGCTTGCCTCTTAAGTAATCATTAGTCCAGTGAATAGCAGGAAAATGTCAGATTGATGATGAAGTATAGTAGAATATACTGAAGGAGCAAAATACTATGGTTCTGAAAATACAGAAGTAGCATTTTCCTTGCAGAGGATGCTTTCTCTCTCTCTCTTTCTCCTTCCTCAACTCCACAGGAAGCCTTGTAGGCCTCTTATGAGGATAGTTGCTTTTCTTGTATATTGAGCAAATAATCATTCTGTTTTTAAAGATCTGTGACTCATGGCAATATTCTATTCAAGAATAATTTGGGGAAATGGGATGGCAAAATGATTTTAAGAATGAAACAGTTAGCTAAAGTGTTTTGCACTTTCAAAGGATTTTCTTAGCCTGTCAAAAAAGTGGAATCGTTTTTTAAGGATGGACAAGGCTCTTTTAGATCATTGCCACTTAACCAAAACACAACTGATGACATGGTTTCTTTTTGAGACTATCCTATTCAAGAATGGTTTCAATTACTTCCTAAAGATTAAAAAATACATTGTCTTCCAAATAAAAAACTTTTTAAAAACTCATGAGTAAAGTTTCTGGATATGTTTAAAAGAAATAGATGAAGCTGGAGACAGGGGGCTCACACTACTCAGGAGGATCCGTGAGGATCACAGTTTGAAGCCAGCCCAAGCAGGAAAGTCCATAAGACTCCTATCTCCAATTGTCTACCAAAAAGCCAGAAGTGGAGCGGTGGCTCAAGTGATCCAGTGCTAGCTGTGAGCACAAACGCTCAGGGTTTTAAGTCCCCAGGACTGGCGCACACAAAAAAGGCAGGTGTAGTTATGCTAGTCATTTGGTGTGGGATAACCTAGAATGAAGTCAGGAACCACTTTAATATCAGTTTACCCTCAGACCTACCAGCTGCCTTTTCCCAATGAAGAGTCCAAACATCTCTTCTCTCTTCTAGGACAACAATGAGTAAGGCGAGTACACAGAAGAGGGCTGTGGTGAAGGACCAGCGTGGGACACGCATTGACCTGGAGCAGCTGGAGGACGTAGCAGAGGCACTGGAGCAGGATGACCTCCAGCGCGATCTCCAGCAACTCCTTCGGCATTTCTGCAAGGAGGACTCAAAGCAAGAGGCCCAATGAAGGACTGCCCAGTTCTCACACCAGAAACCACACATTCACTCAATATGCAACTTTCCACTTCCTTAGAAGAATGACCTAACTGGCCTAATCAATGGGATTTCCCTGACATTGCCACTGTTAGCAAAATATAGAGCCCTTTGATTCCCCCTCCCCTTCTTCCACATCCTCCTTAACTACAAAGCTAATTTGTGACCAAAGATAGCATCCTTCATTCTGGATGCTCTATCCACTCACTACCTTGTGTGTCTGTGCTATCCAGGGAACTGGCCGCCTCTGTTGTGCTTTGCTTCTGCAACCAGCTCCATGGAAATTCATTGATCAGAAGACTTCACCTGCAGATCTCTTCCAGTAACAGATAGAGGACTCCTTCGGAGGGATGTATCCGTATATAATGTATATAGCTGAGATGCTCAGATCAACCACATATTAAAATCAAAGCCACTGCCTAGCATAACGTCACTGGGCATCATGGCATCAAAGGCCTCTAGAAATGGCTGAATAACGGTTAATTAAGATATTGCTAACACAATCGAATGTTAATATTGCAAAAGAAGCACTTCAGACCTACCTACCATGTCCTACCACTTCCAGAGTAACCATTGCTCCTAATAAAACGTGGGTTAATAATATTGAAAAAAAAAACACTGTCCTAACTAAGAAGTGACAGCTGGTGCTGACCAGCAATAATTTATGACTCCATTAGGCTCTTGAGGGTGTGGGCAAAGGAGCGGAAGGCAAAACAGGTCAAAGCAATGAGGTATTCAGTTGCTAGAAGCCATGTCCGGTGACATTCTAGCATCTTCAGGTCTTTGAGATTTTTGGACACGTTGGCAGGGTATTTTAAAAGCTATAACTACTGTAGGTTTCCAGTTTTCATTGTTGCTTTTTGCAAACCACACTGTCTTACTGGTGGTCCTTCCTTCTGGCCGCTGCACTGTAGATAATCCATTGAAGACAAGATTTTGCCCATGACACTAAAATATTAAATTCCCCTCACCACATTGCAATGATTTTCCTTTATCTCTTTTCTTTTTGTGTTTATATTCTCTTGACTATCTGCATGTGGCATTTGAAAAAAAAAGTCAAAATCACAGTCAAAACCCCTCTTCTAATTACATTCATGGTTTTCATCCTTTCGACCCTTGAGTGAGCACTCTTCACTTTCTAGCTAGGTCTGTTTTTCAGCTTACAGAAAAGAGTGAGAAGTCCTTGGAAAATTTGGTGTGGGTTAAAATTTGGGGTTTATTTATTTGAAATCCAAATTTCCCCCGGGGAAACTCTGAAGTGAATCTGTGCACTTTTCTTTTTCTTTTTCATTTTTCTTTGTTTCCAAGAAGGGAGAAGAACCATCTGAATGATTTTCACATTTTGTTTCTTACTCCTCTAGTGGTTGGAGCTGTGTAACATTTTGACATTATATATATATATTCACAATTATATACACAGTATACATTTTGAATCAGTTATTTGTTAAAGAAAACTATATTCAATGAAAATGAATTAAAACAAAAATAAAAGCATCTATCCTCCAGGAACTGAACTTTTTCCAACTCTATCTGGTCTTTTCCTGTTGTGCAAAAATGACTCATTGCTCTGAATGTCAAAACAAAAAGAAAAGAGACATGACAAACAATGGCACTTCATCATTGAAAGTAATGTTGCCAAGAGAGAACTTCTACTGGGAGGGAGGATTCCCATAAACCAAATCTCCTAAGCCTCAAATGCTAGTTGGATAGGAAATAAAGCAATCATTGGCAGCCAAAATAAGAGAAACCTATGGTGAAATTTTGAGACATACCACGGCCTTCCTGTCAAAACCTTCACTGGAGCTCAAGAAAAGCATTTCTGTTGTGTTATTTGCAGTGCAGATGATGTCTGTAGCAACATAATGGTTATTCACCTTCCTTTGATTTTTTTTTGATTTTTTTGCTGTGTTATCAAAAAAAAACTTGAATACTGTGAGAAGAAGTGATTTTTCAGTTGATGAATCAGCATCTTGTTCCCATGGTGATAACACTAATTGAATATATTTATGAGGGCATGTATTAGTTAATGGAAACAAAATACAACACTAACAATACATAGCTGCAATGTTGTACAATGGCTGATTTAACTAAATAAAATGTACAAGTGTTAAATGTGGCAATAGTAATTGGTTCTTTCTTGCAAGTCTGCAATCTGAGGTGCATAAGAGGCTATTAACGAAATGAGATAGATTTGAAACCTGCAGAATTCACAAAGTACTTGAGATTGCTTTATATTTAGCAACTGAATATCTTATAGATAAACAGGAAGTCTGCCTTGAGCCACAACAACTTTTACTTTTATTGTGACACAATACACAACAAGAGATGAACTTTCAGTCACTAGTTAATAAGAAATAGGAATTGGAGGATTTGAAGGAGATAAGAACAGGGTGTAAGGTTTACAGTACCTTTGAGGCTGTTTTTCTCAGGGCCTTGACTGTCTCAAAATACCTGCTGCTCAGAACAGCATTCAGCTCTGGAGTTTTGTTTCTCTTTTACAATCCAAGAATTAGAAATTAAATGAATGTGTTACTATAAAGACAGAACAAAAACTGACAGAAAGTCAGACACTGGTGGCTCATGCCCATAATCCTAGCTACTCAGGAGGCTGAGATCTGAGGATCGCAATTCTAAACCAGTGTAGGCAAAAAAAGTCTGTGAAACTCTGATCTTCAACAAAAAGCAAGTGGGGTTCAAGTGGTGGAGAGACAGTCTTGAACATAAAGGCCTTGAGTTCAAGTCCAATTACTTATCTACACACACACACACACACACACACACACACACACACACACACGGCACAGAACAAAATAAAGCTCTAAAATCAGTGGTGCTTAGAGTGTTGGGCATGGTTTCAGTGTTTTTTGTTTTTTGTTTTTTTTTTGGGTCTGGTCGTGGGGCCTGAACTCTGGGCCTGGGCACTGTCCCTCAGCTCTTCAGGTCAAGGCTAGCACTCTACCACTTGAGCCACAGCACCACTTCCGGCTTTTTTCTTTTTGCTTATGTGGTGCTGAGGAATCGAACCAGGGCCTCAGGCATGCAAGGCAAGCGTTCTACCACTGAGCCACCTTCCCAGCCCTTGGTTTCAGTTTTTGAAAAATTCCTATAATTCCATATGTACTTCTATAATATATATAATATAATCGTACATACATACAAAATATATTAGTCGTATTAAAAGGATGCAGTAATTTCTCTGACCCTTCAACAGATATGTATTTATTTTCTTTTTTGGTAGTTATTTTATTTAACTTTATTTTTAATTGAAAAAGTGATAAACAAGGCGGTTACCATTACATAAGCAAGGCAAATAAGTACATTTGTTTTTAATCTTTTTTACTCCATCCCTCATTATCTCCCATTTACCTCTCATTATTCCCCTCCCCGCAGGTTGTAATGTTCATATCAACATAGTGTCAAGTGAGTATCAATATTACTACGGTTCATCCATTGTCCTGCTGTTTCTGTGATTCCCTTTCCCGTCCACGTACGGCATTAGCTAATATTTAAAACAGAAGTACACAAAACTAAGAGAAACAAAACAATAAAACATTAGAGAAAAAAAAGAACGAACTACACACAGGGTCTAATAAGAACCTCTTGTTTCCATAAATTGGAATTCATTTGCTATACTTCATTATACATAGTCCTACACACTAAGCAGTTGGGTTATTGGGATCCCCTGTGAAGAATATTGCATACATATACTAGATCTTAACGATGAGGGAGATTATGCGACCTACTCTTCTTTGGGTTTGGCTTACTTTACTTAATATAATTTTTTCCAAGTCTTTCCATTTCTTTATGAATGGAACAATGTTATTCTTTCTGATGGAAGCATAGAAAAGATATGTACTTAAAATGTAGGGAGGAAGGAGTCTTTCAGCCTGAGGAAAGATCATTCACATTTCATAAATAACTTGAATTAGTCACTAAACGGGGCAAATTACACACACGCACATTGATACAGGCTTGAATTAGAGAATGAGCTGCTGGTGGTGTCATTCAATTTATGTCGGCATGGAGAGCCTGGGCATCAGTAAGTAGGCAAACCTAAGAATAAAGCAGTAAAAGCACTGCTGCACACAAATGCAATGAGATTGAAAAGCACTACAAGGTTGTTTTCTTCCTGAATAATGGTATAAAGATGATCTGTTTGCTTTCATTCTGTTTAAACTAATTTGTTTTCATTCTTTGTTTTCATTTGGCATCTCTGCTTAAAAGCTATACTCTCCTGGCTGGGTGCTGGTGGCTCATGCTTGTAAGTCTGAGATGGGAGAATCACAGTTTGAAGCCAGCCCAGGCAGGAAAGTCCATAAGATTCTTATCTCCACTAAACTACCAAAAGAGCCAGTAGTAGAGCTGTGGCTCAAGTGATAGAATGCTAGCCTTGAGCAAAAGAAGCTCAGGAACAGCAACAGACCCTGAATTCAAGTTCCAGGACCAGCACAAAATGCCTCCAAAAACTCCAAAATAACACAACTCTCTCTTTCCTTCAGGTGACTTGTGACTTTTGTTTTGGAGCCAATTGAAGACTAGAATTACAGCCTTATAAGGAACATGACACATACATGTGTAATAAAACTTCACGTCTATGTAATAACAAAACATTTAAATAAATCTCCCAATTCCTACACCTAAATTAAAAATTCCTCTTTGGTTATAGTCAAAATTTTCCGTGAAAAATAAAAGAACTTCTTGTTTTAAATTTACTACTACACACAATGTTGTCAATGGGTCATAAAGAAATACTCTTGGTACATCTATTTTTTTTTATGGCAGACAGACATAGTTGATGGTAGTCTTTTCTTTTTTTAAAAAGAAAAATGTACATTTAATTTTTATTATAAGGGTGAAGTACAGAGAGGTTATAGTGAAGTTAGGTAATAAGGGCATTTCTTTTTGAATAGTGTGGTACTGTTTCCAGTAAGCCAGTAGATACAATTGTCAGGTGTTCAAAATGTTCCCCTGAGTCAGTTTAACAAAATAGTTAAACTTGTGGTTATAGAGCAGGACCTGGAATGAATAGAATCATTTGTTGTGCCATTTCTTAGTATGTGACTCTGTCCAGGTTCATCCTTGTAAGACAACTTTCTTATAATAAGAGATGAGAGCAGCAGCCTAGGCTAGGGGTCACTGTGCAGACAAGGACAGCAAGCGCAGACCAGTTTATTATTCCTTGAATCTGGAAATGCCACTGTAGCCAATGGCCAGTGTGTCCTTGCTGTCTGTTTAATATGGACCCACATTCATGACTAGAGCTAAGCTAATGCTGATGGACCACATCACCATCTCTTCATTATAGCCAGTTACCTTCAAAGTGCTCTGAGAATGTCTATAGTCTTCACCACAAGGTAAATACTCAAAGGCAAACAGGTTGAATAATTTTCCCAAGGTCCTACAGCTAGAAAAATGATAAATCTGGAATACAATCCAAGCAAATAGTTCCAACAAGAAACCACCCTCTTCTCACTTTGAAGAAACAGACCTTCCATGTGTAATCTTACAGAAGAGATAATTCTCACAAGTAATAAAAGAATTCGTTTATGCTAGAGAAAGAATCTTTTATGTAAAAAAAAACCTCCACTTCAGCAAATATGCAATTTGTGTTCTTCTGACACAAAAAAACACATCTCTTCTTATTTTTTTCTTCCTAACCTTCTTCATGCTCAGTGGAAGATCTTGACTTTGTTTGAGAAGAAAATAGATGTCAGTGGGCAAAATGACTTCAATGCTGTATTAATTAAGGCCTTCAAAAGAGAGAGAAACCCCTGGGTTCCTCCAAGTCTCCTCTGGCAGCTGTCAGGGGCCCCCTTCGTTCCTCCCACTCAGCAGGAAGAAGCCAGAACAGAGCTCAAACTTCCCTTTCTCCCCTCCCCCCACCAAGTCCCCCCAGCTCCATGTACCCACAACAGTCAGGGAACACACAAAGGCAGCAAATGAAGGACATCAGAGAACTGGTTTGGGCAGCTGGCTACCTCCACCACCAGTGGTCGCCACCCAAGGAGGGTCATGGGTCTTGCCATAACTCAGGCCAACCTGCTACAAGCCACTAACTTGGCTCCTGCCAAGGCTTAGGCCAAACCCACCTTTCTTGGACCGCCCACCCAGGAGAAGGTCTGGCCTGTTTCCAACAAACCAATCATAATCTGCCAGATTTCCTGAAGGGAGGAGAGAAAGGAGAGAGGACAGAGACCACAACCCATTTTCTGGTCCCTCTGTTGAATGGTCCTTTACTTTTTCCTTATTAAATAAACTTTTTAAAACTGAGAAAAAAAAGCCGGGCGCTAGTGGCTCACACCTGTAATCCTAGCTACTCAGGAGACTGAGCCTGAGATCTGAGGATTACGGTTCAAAGCCAGCCCAGGAGGAAAAGTCTGTGAGACTCCAGTTAACCACCAGAAAACCGGAAGTGGTACTGTGCTCAAGTGGTAGAGGGCTTGCCTTGAACTGAAGAGCACAAGGACAGCACCAAGCCCAGAGTTCAAGCCCCATGACCAACCCCCCCCCCCCAAAAAAAAACAGTTAAGAGAGAGAGAGAAGAAATGGAACCAATAATTTATAATAAGCTTGGATGTATCACACATAGTTTATATGGATTTATCATACACAATCCACGGATCTTTACACACGATTTTAATGGAGCATGGTTGAAAAGCAGATACTCTTTAAAAATCAACATCAAAGCTAACCAGTCTTAAATTCCCATGTATGCATATTGATATGAATTGATATGTCAATTTAATCAATTTCTTCATATCAGTTGATATGAAGAAACTCTCAATCAGTCCAGTTCCATGCTCTCATCACTGGAATGTAAATTATGTGATTAGAACTCAAGGCATGGTTCAATTGGTACAGTGCTGGCCTTGAGTGGAAAAAGCCAAGCAAAAGCACAAAGCCCCGAGTTCAAGCCCCAGTA